ACAATTTTCAACTTCAAAAGTTGACAGAGCAGAGATCAAGCTCCCATAAAGCAATTCACAGCCATAAATGAATGGAAAACACTTGTGAATCACAAAATGCAGAAACTGTAAATTAACAGATATTTATACAGCGTATGCTGTGGCAAACTGGTGGCTATAGAGTGCACTTCAGTCCACCAGTGAGAGAGCGCCAGGTGGAGTTGATCAGCTAATTAGCAGACCAGAACAGACTCAATTTAGAGTAGCAGTTGCTAACAGAGTAGAGCAGCAGTCGCTTGCTTGAATTCTTCTTGTGTAGAGCTAAGCTCACTACAACATAAGTGAAGAAGCAGCTGGTGAGTTTTAATATCATCTTTTTTTGTATTTAAGTTGGTCTCGATTGTGTTGTATCAATTGTATTTGAACATAGTGTATTTGGTTTGTTTGTCAGTTTTTGTATTTATTTGAAGCATTTTGTAACGATTTGATTTGGAATTTAGGGCTGGTTTTTACATATTGCGATTAAAAGCCATCAAGAGTAAATGTGTCAAGAAACTAAATGTGTACATACAGGTTTAACAATTTGTTTTTTATTTTCATGATATTTGTGCTAATTTCAAATGAAACTGGTAAACTATCCCTTTACCATGCATTCTGTCAGTTTAGTGAATTAATATGTTTCATTGGGCCTAGCGGAAATATAGAGTTGAGTATCACCATCCTAAGACTCGTACAACACCTGATCGGTGAGCGAATATAAAGAGACATTTTGAAGATGCGATCAAGGTATTGGCTGCTTTCAATTTTCTCTTGCAATCTCTGCTCACGGTCAGCCCTGCAAAGAGATTAATGGAAACTGACATCCTTGAAAAGCTGAAGTGGCCGCACATACATAGTGTGTGTGTGTGTGTGTGTGTGTGTGTCTCTCTGTGTGTTTTCTCAACAGGATTACAAGGAGTATCGCAGATTTAAAATGGCACAGTGTCAATATTTTTGTCAATTTTTGTACCTGAATGCTAATATGCAGGAATTCGCCACAGTGGAGCAGTTCTCAGGCATGTGATCAAATAAAGAAGGAAGACGCGACTCCCAAAAATAAAATAATAAATAAATAATATTCTTAATATAAATTTGTTATTGGCCACACATTTTAAGTATTTTTTTTTGTTTTATCAGTTTAAATGTTTTAGCAGTTTAATAGTGACCTAAGTAATATTTCATAGGTTTATACTTTGTACCTCAATGTCGAGACAGATCCACATACTGCCACTAGATGGCACCACTAACTCAGTTAGTTCTCCTGTGTCCACAAAATATAACTTTCCTTGTAATTTAATCAACTCTTTATTCCAACGTGATTTAAAAAACTACTAGTCAGTCAACAATCGAACTGTAAAATATGAAGTCCAGTTGAATTGAGTAGTCTAACACACTTCAACAATCCACCCTGAAAAAATAAAAATCATACATTGCTAATAAGTTTATTACTTTCACTTTCCCTTTCCTTCGGCTTAGTCCCTGTTTTTAATTAATAATAAAATATATATTTTTATAAGTTTGTAATATAGTCTAAACGTATGACACTTTCAGGTATTAAATGCAAGGTGCACTGAGTTAATAAAAACATAAGGGCAGATGACTTGCGGAGGATAAACGCAAATATGTGCCCTGCCTTTATTTATAATGTACATAGAGCGCACGTGGTCGTGACATCAATTGTGAGAGCGGAAAAATTGTGCACAGCCGCACACACATTTTAAACGATTTCTTAATCTTGTGTATTGTCAGTGGCTTTGTCACATTATAGGACAAAAAAATATCATTGTTATATACACAGTATGGTTGGGCGATGTCAACCAACTTGGCATCGTACAATGTCTAATGTGAAACATTGCGATGGACGATGGCATCGTCACCGTAGGCGGCAGTAAATTAACTATTTATAAATAATAAATCAATTTATAATGAATTAATTATTTGTAGTGTACCATTTCACCTACCTAATGTGCATAGTCTTTGTTTTACCAGTAACTAAATCATAAATAAAGATGAGTTACACACAAATTACCACCTGTCCATCACTTTTTCCAAGAGTCGTTAGATAGACAAGATTAAATAAATATCACGTTTTACAACTTTAGTGAGACGCGATCCAGTGCTACATCCTTGATAACCTGTCCGATGTGCACTTCTCTCTGGAGTTTTGTGCTCAAGACGTGTGTGTGTGTGTGTGTACGCTGCAGCGCTGACAGTGTGTGTGGTCATGTGATGTGCGTTTTCGGCAGTATAGTGTGGAAGGGCTTTTCAGAAATGCTAGGTAAAAAGTCAGTGTGGACGTGGATTGATTTCGTTCTAAAATCTCATTTTAAAACTTAGACGTATTAATGTAAACGAGGTCTAAGTGTGTTTTTTTTGCAGGCGGGTTGCTGCGACGGACGGGGCAGAGGATCGTGATACCGGCTCAGCATCGTGATGTCTATCGGCCATTGACGATGACATCATCTATGAACTTAACCCTAATACACAGTAGCCAAGGTAGGTCTACAATTACAGGTACATCCCTTAAGTCAGGGGTGTCAAACTCAATCCCTGGAGGGCTGAAGCCCTGCACAGTTTAGTTCCAACCCTGCTCCAACACACTTACCTGTAGGTTTCAAACAAGCCTGAAGGACTCAATTAGTTTGGTCAGGTGTGTTTAATTAGGGTTGGAACTAAACTGTGCAGAGCTGCGGCCCTTTTGGAACTGAGTTTGACACCTGTGCCTTAAGACGTCTGGAATGAAGCAGGTCGTCTGCTTTGATGACGATGGAGACTCACCCCACCACCCCAACCTTCGGATTTATGCAAATTACGAGGTCGCCCCCCTATTGACCTTGGAAGATACGGAAATCCGTATTCATAGAGAAGAATCACATCCCTGAGTTCTAGAAGTTAATACGTGAAGCTTAAAACTCGCATTTAAAAGTGAACAATGCATCAATTCATGATGCGCTAGATTCAGTTCCAATACACTGAGGTCTAATTTAATTTTCATATTTTCATAACAGTAGTTTAAGGCAGTAAACCTAGTTTAAGGCATGTGACAGATTCTGTGTTCCTAAATAAGCTTGCAAATTCCAAAATAACCATAAAATTAAATTTCCAACACAGTCATATCACCCTGCAGCCCAAGACCGGTTACTCCCTGAAGCCAAGTAAGGCTGAGGTCAGTGCCTGGATGGGAGACCACATGGGAAAACTAGGTTGGTGTTAGTGAGGCCAGCAGGGGGCGCACAACTTGGTCTATGTGAGTCCTAATGCCCCAGTATAGTGGAGGGAACACTATACTGTCAGTGGGCAACGTCTTTCAGGTGAGACGTTAAACACAGGTCCTGACCCTCTGTGGTCATTAAAAAATCCCAAGGCACTTCTCGTGAAGAGTAGGGGTGTAACCCTGGTCTCCTGGCCAAATTCCTTCTATTGGCCCTTAAGCCGCCTTTCCACTGCATACGACAAATGACAAACGACAGACCGGATGTCATTCATTTCCAGTGGAGAATAGTCCGGGAGCTGCGTGGAGTTCTAATCATCTCTGTATGTGGAAAATTCGGATCCGATTTGAGCTGTGGATACATTGAAATATTTGAACTCCTACAACTAGTGTATGCGACCGGCAGACCGGATGTGATGTATTCCAGTGGAGTCCAAGCAATGACTGTAAAAAATTGTCCAAGCAGGTCCGTGAGCACGAGATGAGAAATAGGAGTTTTTTCATAAATTTTTTATATCAGAAAAAAGTCTATATTATTGAAACATTTTTATTTATAAATGAGTAATAAAATAATATTTTTAATGTTGTCTCCACATTTTCTCCGATATTTTGTTCTGTGAGTTTATAGTATTCATTCATTCATTCAACCATGATAAACGCACAGAGAACAAAGGCTCTTTTTATACTTTAATTTTGGACACCACACAAATTAACTTCTCTGATTCACTTAATCAACTGAAATTCTGTGCAATTGCCACAATGGGGTGTATTTCGGCAGTATTGTCCAAATGTCAGGTGCAGTTGAAAGGCGACTTTACCCATCACGGTCTCTCAATCATCCCAATCTACTGAATTGGCTCTATCACTGTCTCTCCACTCCAACTATAGCTGGCGTGTCGGAGCACACACTGGCGCCATTGTTCTGTGGCTGCGGTCGCATCATCCAAGTGGATGCTGCACACTGGTGGTGGTTAGGAGAGACCCCCCTCATAAATTGTGAAGTGCTTTAGGTGTATGGCCATACAAGATAAATGCTTGATATAAATTTACATTACATTTACAATACATAAATCACAACTGGTTTGGTCAAGTTGTGAAGTTTGCATATTCTCCCTGTGTTTGTGTGGGTTTCCTCCGGGTGCTCTGGTTTCCCCCACAGTACAAAGACATGCGCTACAGGTGAATTGGGTAAGCTAAATTGTCCATAGTATGTATGGGTGTTTCCCAGTGATTGGTTGCGGTTGGAGAGACATCCGCTTCATAAAACATATGCTTGATAAGTTGGCGGTTCATTCCACTGTGGCCACCCCATATTAATAAATAGACTAAGCCGAAAAGAAAATACATGAATGAATCACAACTACTTTATAAAGAAACAGAAATGTTTTGTCTTCCTGAACAAATTAAACTGATATTTTAACAAGTCTATCCAAGTCAAATCCTCTCATATATCGGGTTCCCATAGCAACAAAAAAGTTACTAAAATAAACCACTTCAGCAACATCACAAAAAAACTCCTTGTCTAGATGTGTGCGCGCTTTAAATGTAAGTGCAGATTCTAAAGTCATGGCACCCTGATCATAATATAATGATGTTAACATGGCAACAAGCCCAGTGAGACTAATAATCTCAACTTAAAGTCAAGGCTTGTTCCTTTTACTATAATTAATGAATAGTGAGTGACCCGCTGCTTTTGCCATAGTGACAATTCGATCAATGGTGGCGCATAAAAGTGCCTACAGCGCACGACAACCATGGAAACCATACTTACACTAACACAGGACGCACTGCATTGTTCATGTTGCCATAAGCAGCGCGACCCAGCAACTCTCGAAAGCAGCTCTCCGCCAACGAAGCCGGATTCTCCTCTCCAGCCCTGAGAAACAAAGAAAACACACATAAGAGCTCATGTTAACGCTGTGATTTACAGTATGTTTCACGTTCTGCCTTCTCATGTCAAACACTCAGGTGTAATAAATGATGCATTAAGATCTACAAGGAAAAAAAACAAACATCCCCACTATATCTCTGTCAGACACACAACACACACACAATCTTTGTCCCTTCGGCTCACTGACAGTCCATGGAAAGCAATTAACAGGAGCTGACGACCTTGACAAGCTGAAATACGCACACACGCACACAGTATAGCCTATTCAAAGAGCTATAAATTAAAGCAACACAGTAGCAAACAGCAGCTATGTTTTGTTAAGGAATAGTCGCATATTGCGCACTTGACACCTACAGTATATAATACATGTGTTTTGTTTGATTCGAACATTTAGAAACAATTTATAACACAGATGTTGTTCAATTTCATCTTTGACTCCAAATATGAGCTTTTAAATATAAGCTTGCCAATCAGTTTCGGAGAATAAGATACTTGCTCAGGAGTAGCTTTAAAGATGCAAACTGAGTAGGGCTATACGATATTGGAAAAAATCTGACATTGGAATATTTTGTTTTTAATTAGGCTTTAAGTGTAATAAATATTGTGATTTTTATTTATTTATTTATTTTTTTAATAACGGAAAGTCATTTTACCAGATGACTTAAATAGCTCTATTTGGAGAAAAAATATTTTACATCAACTGAGGTGATTTTGTAGGGAAGTGAGTCATGCATAAAATATAACTAGGGCCAGACAGAATCTGTGGATTTTTGCCATTTCTGTGCACAAAGTATATACAAGAATCAGAGAGTGAAATTCAATACCTTTTAAAAACTCTTTCCATACAATAAGATCTTATAATCACTTTTCAACCGGAAACACTGACGATACTGTCAATACTAATGTAAGAAATTAACCCAAAACTAAAACATTATTCATATACTGAATAAAAAATGATTGAATCTAGCTCAGTGGTTCTCAAACTGGTACGCGTACCACTAGCAGTACGCGGGCTTACTTCTAGTGGTACACGGAGGAATCACTGAGTAATGAAAGAAAAATATAATTTTTATATAATATATTGCATACAATAACTCCAATTTGATCAGCATTGGCTGTTCTCTAAAGCCTACGATAAAATCGCTGTGCTTAGAATGTTTACTTTAGGGAATTGTGTCATCAGACCGGTGCTGGTCTGTGGCCAACCCTCGGGCCACAGACCAGCACTGGTCTATAGATCAATTGGTACTGGGCAGCACAAAAATTAATTATTTCCCTTTTATTCATTATCCGAGTCTGAACAATCATTTATTTGGAAAAAAATTTTAGTTTGAAAAATTACCGTATTCTCTTGTTACATCATGGTCACTTGAGTGCCAAAATTTAACCAACAGGCTAGCAAAATGAGTAAGAACTGCAGCACGATGCGCTTGCATTTTCCAGGCATACACAGATGAAAACATCTTAACTTTTCAGAATGCCGCACCGCGAGTCACATGACAAAAACCGACTTCATCAGCTTTATATTTTGTATGGAATATCATTTTGTTTGACTAATTATCTCAGACAAACACAGAACACCCAAACACTGCAGTGCTTTTTAATTTTCTCCATAAATAAAACTTGAGTGCAGCAATGTTTTGTCAGCTTGACATACTCAAAAAAAATGGGTTCCCTACCAATCTACATGAAAGTTAGTGTTTAGATTTCAAAAAGTTTTACAAATATGTCATATGTATGTACATGCAACATACATTTCAAAATGTATACAATATTGTATAAATACGAATATGATTCTTGTTTTCGAACTGTGCAGTGCTGTAGCTGACTAATTTGGCCAATTACGCTGCTTTATTTCAATACTGCTCAATATGGTGGTGCATGGAGAGACAATTTTTTTCTAAGGTGGTACTTGGTGAAAAAAGTTTAAGAACCACTGATCTAGCTAATTCAGCAGGTTGGTGCTTATAGAACTGGTGTTGCATTGGTAACTGCAGTAAACAAAGCAGCCTGATGTCAAATCTAGAAGAATTTCATGTTTTTAGTTATAAACACACATTTTATAGTTCTGATTGTATACAACAATCTGCATACTATATCATATAGCAGATTGTGCAATTTTCTATACGCTTCATCATAAATCAGGGCTCCCACTCTTAGCCAAATGTAAAATTCCCAGACTGTTCTCTGACTTTCATTACCTAAAAAGCTGAATTTTGAATTTTCATGACCTATAATGACCAGAAAAACAGGACGCAATAAGCAGTCCCTCCAGAAAATCTGTGATCCCTGAATTTAATGCAAACAGGGTAAAAACAGGGCTTTTTTTTTACAAGACTGCAGATTTCCTGTGGATTTGGCTAGGCATGACATTGGTCAAATTTACTCTGTGTTAGTTTGCATATTGATCAATTTAAACTAAATAACATTATTTTCGTGTATAAAAAGTCCTCATCCGGTGTGCGATAACACTCTTCTCCTCAGATTTTAAGAGTTATGTTTCTTTTGATCATTTTAAGTCATTCATGTATCAACTATGATCTAATAGTTAAAAAAATAAACCCTTACTTTATAAATTATGAAGTTATAAATTACAGAGGCTAATCTTTGAGTTCGACAAAGTAATGAAGAACTGAAAAAAAGCACGGTATTGTTAAAATACTTTTACATTTGAATGTAATAAATGGAGAGAAAAAAACTAAATGACAATCAATAATCCCTGGTATTCCATGACTTCAACAAAAAATAAAAATCTGACTTTCAATGTCTGGAATAGACCTTTTAAAAATCTATAATACTCCAGAAATCACATGACCTGTGGTATCCTTAATAAATGTAAGCTTGCATAAAATGTCTTATAATTAAATAAAATAAAAATCCTAAAGTAACGCTGCTCTCGTATATTTTGAGATATTGGTTTTCAGATGAATGTCCCCAGTAACATCAGCAGATCAGGTGTCATTCCACATGTCAGTCAATCTTTGTGTTCGCAACCTTAATAACTGATCGATGCACCTGATCGAGTTTCAGCTCCTGATTATAGAGCAGAGAGCAGCGATTGATGTTTCCCTACTCAAACAAAAACAGGCAATTAAACTTAAATATTCTGTGCACACAGGAGCCCTTATCTGAGGCGCACATTTTATTCTCGCGCAAACACACACACACACACACACACACACACATTCTTAAAGGAATCAGATATCCTTGATTGCCCTCTACGTGTGGCCTTTTTATAAAAAAAAAATCTCTCCTCCTCCCTGGCTCTTTGTGTTTGGCGGCATTATTCAGTGCACAGAACAGAACTACAAACATCAAGCACAAATTGAATTGAAATATCACCTTGAGAAGGAGAAATTAAATGATTGCACTTGCTGTAATGTGTGTGTGCGTGTGAATTTTTACCTCTCAGAGTCCTCATTATCTTGCATGTTGAACAGCATGGAAGGGATGAGTTTATCCATGTGCTGAGGCTCCCAGATGATTGCCTGGAGTTCATCATTCACAGTCTTTCTGACAACACCCTGGAGACCCTTAATGCCTGCTACACGGATCCTGCGGAAGGAACAAGTTCAACAGGCTAAATAAACACACTAAATATCACACTCATTAGATTACTACTGCTAGAGTCAACATGTATTGGTCCCAAAAGTGTTTGGAAATAAACTCCATCCCCACCACCGACATGAGCTCGTCCATTAAGAAACAACAAACTATGTTTTAGGTGAATTATGGTAAGGACAGTACTAGCGCATGTCCTGAGTGAGTTACGAAGCTTCTTGGTCTCCTGGGAGTGAAATAAAAGATGACCAGAGAAAGTGTAGATCAGATCGCATGTAAAAATGAACTGTTAGACAACTTTCATTTATCTTACTGCCTTCTTTATCAGGGCTCACCACAGTGAAATTATCCACCCCCATTGATCTGGACTAAAGTTATGTGTTTATAATGTATAATAGCTGACAAAAGTCTTGTTGCCTATCCAAGTTTTAGGAATAACAACTAATAACTTCTAGTTGATCATGTGGTATCAGAAGTGGCTTATATGAAAGGCAAATGCCTATAGAATAGGCTAATTTTATCAAAATAAAATTATTTTAATTATTTAATTAGGACAGTAAGGTCTGACTTTGCTTAGACAAAAGTCTTGTCACTTGACAGAAATAATGTACAGTATAGAAATAAAAGCCATGCTTGCAGTGGAAAAAGAATGAATATTGTGTATGACTCCCATGAGCTTGGAGGACTGCATCCATACATCTCTGCAATGACTCAAATAACTTATTAATAAAGTCATCTGGAATGGCAAAGAAAGCAATCTTGCAGGATCTTTGGATTCATCTTTAATGCCTCCTCCTTTCTTTTACCCCAGACATGCTCAATTATGTTTATGTCTGGTGACTGGGCTGGCCAATCCTAAAGCACCTTGACCTTCTTTCAGGAACTTTGATGTGGAGGCTGAAGTTTGAGAAGGAGCGCTATCCTGCTGAAGAATTAACCCTCTCTTGTGGTTTGTTATGTAATGGGCAGCACAAATGTCTCGATAACTCAGGCTGTTGATGTTGCCATGCACTCTGAGAATCTTGCGGGTTCCAATAGGTCTTCTGCAGTATTTGTAATGACTGGGATGCAGTTCAACAGATGCGTCCATCAGGAAAATCTACCTTCTGCCACTTTTCCAAATGATCAACTATTAATCAAGATATTATTTGTTACTATTACAACTGGGATCGACGACAAGACTTTTGTCAGGTAGTGTATATATCATCAATTACTAGTCGAAAATATTCTGATATGTCAAATATAGGTGAAAATTATTAAAAATGCTGGCAACTTGAAAGAGTTATGCTCTGGCACAGAAAGAGTTAAAGTCTCATTCTAATCTTGTGAATTTGACTGTATTAGTTTAAACAAATGGCATCTGAAAACTGGTTTCTGAGAACTAACATCAGAAGCTGTGTATGGCCAGATTTGATGATAGAAAATAATCTATAGGTTTTCTATCGTTCTTAAATGATCAGTTGGTTAAACAGACAAATCATATAATGTTTAATCGCTGCATTTAGGAGATTTAAAAAAATGCATAAATAATGTGACATGCCCATTAAATAGCTGATTTCAGTAGGTCCAAGTTCTACTTATGTTGACACTAGATCCTTATTTATTTATAGATTATTTATAGAATATTATAGATTTATTTAAAACTGGCTTTTTTCTGAATATTACAATATACAAAATATAGTTAAAGACAAATATACAGATTTTCATTCATCAACAGCATAGTACAGACACTAATGCACACACACCTGCTGCGGGTCTCGGGGTCCTCATGTGTAGAATGACACATGGCACTGAACTGAGAGACGAAAAAGTCATATCTTCGATGGTAAGATGGCGTATCCTCCTCAATATTTGCAAACTTCACAAACTACACAAAAAAAAAAAAAACAGAAGGGACATCTAACTCAGAATGATTATGTCATAAAAACAACCAACCACACCCAAATATCTTCCTGTCTCACACAAACACTCCCACGCAAAGGTGCCAAGGCGATATTCCTTTCTCGTGATGTGGTGTAGAGGAAGTTGCTGCTATCAGCCAGAGAAGTGTTATTTCTCATTAGACAAGCAATACAGTGTGCAAGTCTGTGAATGTTTGGCTGATTTAATATAGGGTCCAAATTTGACATTTGTAATGTTTGATTTCACTAAAGTCCACTAAAACTGGTTTACATGATCATTTACATGAGCTTTTACTACTGCAACCAACCTTCATTTGACTGGATTCGGTTTTAAACGTTTTAAATACAAAAAGATATTGGATATTTCTTTTAAGAACAACAATTAAAAGATATTTTGCTGAGTGCTGTTGTGCTTTTTAAGCAACACAGGCTCACTGGAAATACATGCTTTATGTGAAACTTCAAAAATGACTGCAGTTTCTAAATAAAATGAATGCTACGGGGCAGTATGACACGATCATCCTTTGTTAATTTTTATAGTGATCATTTTTACAGAGACTTATTAATCATCAAATTAAGGGTTTTTTATTGCAGTTCTTTGTGCAACACCAAATGAATACCACAAAACAACTTGTACAATGTATATGATTTGAATTTGTATACTTTTGTCTCAGATATCTAATGTCTATCCATGATCATATCATGATCATATATTTTTATTTACTGCAATGTCAGCATCAATGGCTTTGTTCATGGCAAAAGATTTCGTAAATGAATATATAATTTACAGTAACTTAAATTCTGCAGAACAAACATTAAGCGGGGTCTTCACCTTTAAGCAAAAAAACATGGGTTGAGGATATTACACATTGAATCTGAAATTTCTGTTCGCAATTTTTGACGTAAAAAAAAAAACAACCTCACGTGTGTGAATAGTACTGACAGACTGCCTCTGAAACTTTGTCCGCCATAAAAAAAATGTAAAAAAAAAAAATCGAAGTGTTTATTTTATTCCGCTTTTTGCATCTGAAAAAGCGTTTTGAGAGGTGTTTTGACAGTTCAGAGCCACCGTACAAGCGAAAAGCTAAATAAATAAAAAATATAAAGCTCCTTTGAGCTACACATAACTTCATGACAAACATAGTGCATAATATAAAGACAGAATGTGACAGACAGCTATATGCTAGATTCAGTGACTGGAGCATCACTTCTTTGCTGCTGCTGCTGGCTGGCAGCCATGTCATACTGCCTATAGACATTATAGTAGGAAATTGCTTTGACGCATCAACGCGACCATCTATTATAATGTCTATATGTACTGCCAGTCTCTGTTTAATATTTGTTTATGTACGTGAATGTGAAGTATTACAAGCAATGTATCAAAATTCCACTGATTTCCTGAAATAAATTTAGCATTTTGAGTTAATCTAAAATAATAGTACAGCAGCTCTTTGATAAGGAGAACTCTCCTTCCTCTATGTAGGCTAGTATTAAATGAACACAATATGAAGCCTATTCCTCTTTCTTTTTCTACTTTGCAGAAGAGAGAGAACAATTAATACCTGCTTAAACTGACTCTGAAATGTTTTGCATTTTTTCGTAATGGATCAATTAATATGCATCAGATTCAGTGTGCAACGTTTGCTTACCTGACAAATTTTTCGCATCCGAATACAAAAATCTGCATAACAAAATTTTCGGACTTCAGTATGCAAAGACCTTTAGTCTTGTATGTCCAATACGACATCTGCTAAAAATCCCTTGATCAAATCTGGTCTTAGAATGTATTAAAAATCTATTCGAAATTTCAGGTTGTATATCAAACAATGTATGATTCTTCTATGTATCCCACTCCTCTTGTCATTGAAACATTTAAAACGTAACCATTGATGAGGAGGAATTTCCTATTTATCTCCATGTGGACAATTTCACTGGTGTGGTCAGTTTGCTCGGTAGTTCACCCTGTACATTGTTGTGTTTGTGATGCAGAGCACTCATTTCACAAAAAAATAAAAGCAATGTAAATTCAAGCTAAAACTATGTGATCGCAGTTAACTTTATGTTATATACATTTGCAAATACAATATTTTAAAAACATTATTATTAGTTGGGATATGGGAAAAATTCAGGTCAGTGGTTCACTAAGTGATGTGTATGACAAGCCCCACTTTCTCATCTAAAAATACAGCAAATCATGATCCAAGTAATGTATTTTGCATTTGAATGTAGACAGCACCCTCTAGTGGATTTGTCCTTTGAATTGTGCAACAAAACATAGCTAGAGCCCAAATTTTTACATTTTGCAAAAATGTAGGCTGAGGTACATATTTCCAATGTGCATGGGCTGAGATTAGAGCCTTTAATACTTCAAAATATATGACACTAAAACTACCAGTAGGTGGCAACAAGTCCCTGTATTAATGAGTGATTTACTAAATTCAAAATGATTCAAATACATTATTGCAGACTATAAAAATATCACACAGTCCTAGGGGCATTTCTATTTTCATGCAAACATTGCAATTTTCAGATGACCAGCTTTTGCGAAGACATTGACATAGCTTACACTACTAAGAAATGTAGCTTTGTGATTCGATTGATGATACAATGTTCAAAACACCCAAACAACTCAATAGAGTATGGCTGCAGATTTGCACTTGCACCTCCAGGCTTGCACGCTCAGGCAAGCATGCTTCCTCTGCAAATGACATCAATACAATCGCCACCTGTGGCCGCTTGCATGAAAGTCCTTCGGTAATTTAACTTAAGGACGTCCCTGAGGCGGAAAAATCCCTGAGGTAACTGATTTCATAAAGATCGTTGCAACAAACTTCTTATCCGTCAGCCTTACTCAAGTGTCTTTTTTCTAAGCGTTTCACTGTAGTTTCTGGCAACACACGACGACGGGCGCCACAGTTGCTATAGTTACGTGAACAGATTGTAACGAACCACGAAGGCTTTCCTTACAATAGCTCTGCAGTAATGTTATACATCATCTGTGTCGCTTTTTCTCCGTTAAGCGAGTCGAGACGTTCCTTTATCGAGTCGATCTCGACATTATGTTTGGAGGACCTATAAAACTGGACTGGGATCATGTAGAGACTGTTGAAGCTGCGCTGCAACTTTGATTTCATATAGATGCAATCCTGCGCAGACGTGCTAACTTATCAGCATGTATATATTAGTTTATTTATTAAATGGTTTTATTAAATTAGTTACTTACAGTGCTGTGCCTGTAAGTCTTTTATCTAAAACACTTTTTTGGGTAAGAATGCTTGCATTTTGAGTGTCATTTGTTCAAGGGAGCTGATCGGGTCCCTTAAATGTTTTAAGAGGAAATGGTTACTAAGGACTGAGGGGAAATACTTATGGCAGCCTTAAATTCCTTAAATCAAATTTTTTTATTTTTTTTTCTACTTGCAAACCAACTTTTACCAAGGGTACCCTTAACCTTAAACTGAGCGATTTTTTGGTTAAGAACTTTCATGCAATCGAGCCCTGCACTCTCCTGCCACATCACTTGCATAGACATCTGCATTCTAGTTTGCAATCGTCCAGGGACCTGCTAAATAAAGAATAGTTTCCCAAGTCGTTCAAGAATTATTGCTGTAAGTCCATAATGTGTATCTGTTAGTTGTAATACTACAACTGCTTAAGGGCCCTATCATACACCCGGCGCAGTGTGGCGCAAGGCGCGGTGCACTAGTCTTTTGGTAGTTTCAGCTTAGCGCAAGAGTTGTTTTGAGGCGTTGTGCTACGCTGTTTAAATAGCAAATGTATTAGCGCTCATTTTTGCCCCCATAGGCGTTCTGGTCTAAAAGGAAGGTGTTCTGAGGCGAACCGCTGGCGCGTTGCTATTTTGAGAAATTATAATAGATTTTTCATTAGACCAAAACTAACCCGGTCTAAACTCCGGCTTAGAGTTGCGCCTCGCTTACACACTGCTTAATACGCACAAGAGAGCAATAGGCAAATATCTTTACATATGAAAAAATTTAAATATTAAGGATATATATAGGATATAATAAGAATAGATATAGAATATAAATATAAAGGATTAAAATATTACAAAACATATTATTTTCTAGCCTACATAAATATGAAAAATCACTGCTTTTATGTCTTCTTCATCTCGGGAGGCTTTTTCAGTTCATTCATAACAATTTGCTTTTTGTATAATGTTATTATTATTAGCAGTATTATTTATTATATCCATATTTATATTTGTTTTATTAAAAACAAGCTTAGATTTGCCCACCTGTCAGGTTTTAGACCATATGGGGCACAGCATGTGTTTTAGGATATAACTCATGTTTTTGAGCACATTTTGTTATTATTATTCATTTATTCGTTTTCTGGAAATTAGAATTGAATTTAGAAATAGTTTTAAAACGAATATTTGCGCTTAACAAACAAAATAATTTATTTATAGACTAATTGATGTCTGTGCGTAAAGGTTTCCCTATCCAGAGCGAATGTGAAAGTAGTTCCATTATCACTCATTCTGCAGTAGATGCTCTGTTTAACAGTTTTCTGTTAAAAAAAACTGTTAACTGTTAACTGTTTGCTTGTGAAATGGTCATTTTTTCCACTTAGACTATCTTTGCATCCTGTAAATAGCGAATGCGCTCTTGGCGTGACACAGCTGACTCTTAAGGAGAATGGGAGATGAGACTCTAATTGGTTTATTCTCAAAACACACCTATAACTCATTAAGAAAATAAACTCAACCCTTTTAGACCATGCGCCACGGCGCAAGGCAGATTTTCCCATCCTTAAATTAGCAAAAACGCGCCCTGACATGCCCTGAAAGCGTTTGCGCCCTGCGCATGGACCGTCAAAATAGAGCCCTAAATGTTTAAAACAGAAACTAAAATTCAAATTTGCCTGGTGTTTTTTAATTTTTTTTATTTATAACTGTGGAAAAACCTTGTGTGTATATTTATACCTGATAGTTTATATAAATAAATAATAAGCTTTGCTGGTATAAATGTTAATAGTAGCCTGCTTTGGCAAGTTTACATCAAAGCGTATAATCATATGATGAATACACAAACCGCTTTTTGGAGGCTGGGAGGGTCCGTCATGGTGTACAAGTTAAGTACTTAGAATTATTTGACAACGTTGTCACTGTCGACGCAAACGAACTGGAAACTTACTTTTGGTTTATTTGTGTTGATTTCAAGTGGCATGATGTAAATGACGTCACTTGCATAGGAAGCGTGGGTGCCTGAGCGTTCAAGCCTGAAGATGCAAGTGCAACTCTGCAGCCAGACCCTTCTCAAACAACTTCGGTGCTGGTCTCCACTTTGTTTGGCTGAGTTTTTTTTTTTCAGTTTTACCATTGGCACCACCTACTGGCTATTTTAAAGAACTCAATACAGCAATTTTAAATTTCTTGTGGAATAAAAAACGGCCTAGAATTAAACTTAAATTTACGCATACTGTACACTAAAACCTCACGATGGCTTATCCTTGCCAGATTTTTCATCATATTATTTAGCATACCAAATGAAACCACTTAGGACTTGGTTGGAAGTTGACTCCCCCGTTTCTTAGCGGGTCTTAGAAGCTAATATTATTCATCCACTGCGTCTACAGGATCTACCCACTAAAACATCCAAGAAATTGCATGAAAAATTTGGTCCAATTATAGGTCACTCTATTAAAACCTGAAAAGCAGCAGAAAATTTTATGGGAGCATCTGATTGTTATTGTGATTCCACCCCTAGCTGGTACCACAATAATATATGTACTGGTAACAAACCATTTAAAGTATACAGAAATGCTATACAACGATGACCAACTTAAATGGTTTCAGATTTTGAAAGAGGAAGTCTCTCTCCCAGGATTCTCCTTTTTCTTATATTTAAGATTGAGGTCTGAGCTGAAAGCATATGGAGTACCTTGGTCATTCAAAATATCCCCTCATCCTATGATAGACTGTATAGATTCTATTTTGGACTCTAGAGGTATTGTAAACACATTTATAAATCACCTAAAGTACGACAATATTCAAATATATCGATTGAGGGCTTTTGGGAGAGAGAATTCAATACAATTATTGATTGGGAGACTGTCTGGGAGAACTGTTTTGTAACTTTAAAAAACCCAGCTCACCAAATAATTATTATAAATTATTTTTTAAGGCTTATGCCACCCCCTACCCGTTATTTAAAAGGAAAAGGAAATAATTTTTTTTGTCACTTATGTAACAACTTTACACAAGGTACTTATATACACATGTTCTGGAAATGTCCCCAAATTGCATCGTTCTGGACCAAGGTACGAGACTTTCAATCAGAACTAATGAAAGTCAGATCCAATGCGACCCATTGCTTTTTTTCATGCTGGACAATTCATCATTCTCCTTATCCATCAACCAAAGAAAGATTCTTTTAGTTGTTCTGACTGCTGCTGCTGCAAAAAAAAACAATCCTGAAACTATGGCTGGATCCATCTGCTCCAACTGATCTATCCTGGAGGATTTATCTAGGACATTATTAGTTTGAAATACACTACGGTCAAAATAAATGGTGAAAGTAAAAAAAAAACTGGACAATTTTGGTTAAATATGAGAGAGACTGTATCAGATATGTTTCAATCCCGATTTTGTACTTACCATTACAATATTACTGTTTTTATTTTATTTGACACTTTTTGTTGGCTGGATGTCGGGCTTTGTTCAAAATCAAAATGATCAATAAAAAAAGAATAAAAAAAGCAAACAAACACCCAAGCAATTCAATACTGCAGGATTTTCACAATGAAACACTTCAGATCCACTTGGAACAGATATGAAAAAGCCAGCGGAGAAATAATACAGCGGAAAATTGAGAAAGCAGAGAAAGAAAGGGGCAGAGCAAGAGACTGAAAGAGAGAAGAGAAAAAGCACCATAACAAAAAAAATGGCAGAATAGCAGTGATTTTTCATATTCCACCTGAATGTCCTGCTGAGATTGGGTTTACTCATTCTCACACACACACACACACACACACACACACACACACACACACACACACACACACACACACACACACACACACACACACACACACACACACACACACACACACACACACACACACACACACACACACACACACACACACACACACACACACACAGACACACACACACACACACACACACACACACACACAGACTTACCGAGTTGGTGCCCAGCACTTGTAAATCTGGTTCTCTGGACTCCAGCAGTTTGGCTACCATGTGTAAGAAGCTCTCCACAAATGGCTTGATACTCTGGGAATGACAGGCCATCAACAACTGATCCAAAGCTTCCATCGCTATTCCTACATACCTGTTCACATACACAAAGACACAGACACAAACACACACATAAGAAACAAGAGTCCAAAATGAACACTTACCAAGCATGAGTTTTATTAAAAGTGTAAGAAAATAAAACATTATAAACTAATGATCAAAAATGTTGTTTTTTAATGCTCAGCAAAACAAAAATCCACTAAAACCAGTACTAAATTGAAATACTATTACAATTTAAATATTATTACATTCAATAAAAAAAAAACAAAGCTGAACGCAGCTAGCAAGCAATTAATTTTTTTCCACTAAAATTTAAGTCTTACCCATAGCGATGTCGTACCACATCTCTGGTGAGCCGCTCGGCCAGGTATGCTCCGATGCGGTCCAGCTTTTCAGGAGCTGACACCGCATAAAACGTCAACTTCTCCATGTCAGATTTAACCAGTCCATCCTAAGGAACAAAAACACACACAGTTTGTGAGTAATACTTCCAGTGGTGTAGTGGAAAGGCCCAACTCCCAACACGCCCCCCACTAATCTTGGTAAAAATAGGTAAAAACCATTCTTTGTGTAATAGTGTGACAGTATCGGTTAATTTTAGGCCCAGTAATAATCTGTTCAAAGAATGGTAAAAGTGAAAGCAGCAACTGCTGCTGCATACGAAAGATTTGGAGATCTCTTGAAAGCAGCAAGACTGTAGGTGCATGAGCGCCACTTTTTTCCAATCAAACAATTGCACTAGTTGCAATAGTACAACAGTTGTTTTTGCGCAAAAAAACAAGAGATTTTAAGCAACGTCAGTGAGTGAGGATCGCCTGTGTCTTGCCGTGCACCTGATCATCCTCTCATTTGGTATTTACCTGCTTTCTTTTGCTTGTGCGAACACTTATTAGTCGTGCTGCTTCTCGATTCTAAGAGCCCATTTGTGCGCATATTGACAAACGGTCTTAAACTAAAATTCTTATCTTTAGGGACGGGGCAGCTTTGGCCGTTATTTTTAAAATTATTTTCAAACAGCTAAAGTGGTTAGTGGGGGTGTCTGTCTAACCCGCCAAAGCTGAAATCTACCCGCATTTGGCCTGTGTTAATGTCAAGCCCTGTGTGTATGTATATATGACAATTATATATGTGTGTGCGTATATATATATATATATATATATATATATATATATATATATATATATATATATATATATATATATATATATGTGTGTGTGTGTGTGTGTATATAATAAAATGTAACAATAATGTAATCAAATAGACATCTAACAGTGGTCCAAAAATAGACCAGTTGTCAATAGGCAGGAATGAATGACTACAGGTGTGAAGTCTGTGTAATCGGTCTATTAGATGACTAATCTATTTCTGGACTATTGTTAGACATTTATTAAATCCAATTTAATGACATGACATGTTAAGAGATCTATTAGACATCTATTAAACAAAAAATGGCTTGGTGGGAGGAGACTGAGGGAACATTTGAATAATTTAGTAATACATAAAAGGTATAACATCAATTACACACAACGCATCTTTTTAAACTAAGAAAACAAATTAATTAATTGCAAGCGGTCACAGAAATATACGTAAAAAACAGACCTATGACAAATCACATAAAATGAAATGAAAATAAATTAAAATCAGACTTTTCTTTAAAAAATATAAATACGCTTACACTCATAGGCCACTTTATTAGATACATCTGTCTAACTCGTTAATACAAAATCCTAATCAGCCAATCACATGGCAGCAACTCAATGCATTTAGGCATGTAGACATGGTCAAGACGATCTGCTGCAGTTCAAACAGAGCATCAGAATGTTAAAGAAAAGTGATTTACGGTACTTTAAACGTGGCATGGTTGTTGGTGCCAGACAGGCTGGTCTGAGTACTTCAAAAACTGCTGATCTAATTTAATTTTCACGCACAATCATCTCTAGGGTTTACAGAGAATGTTCTTCTGATGGCTGCTTCCAGCAGGATAACGCTTCATGTCATAAAGCGCGAATCATCTCAGACTGGTTTCTTGAAAATGACAATAAGTTCACTGTGCTCAAACGGCCTTTACGGTCACCAGATCTCAATCCAATAGAGCACCATTGGGATGTGGTGGAACGGGAGATTCGCATTATGGATAAGCAGTAGAGTTGGGTATCAACTGGGGTTGTTTTGATACCGGTGCTAAATCGATACTTTTAAAACCATACCGGTGCCAAAACGTTGCCTGAAAATGATGGTGGATGACTCTAGAAAAATCTTTTATTTGGCTAAATGTTTTAAAAAAATTATTTTAATAAAACTATATAATTAAACTTTTAATTTAGGTGAGTTCATCATCTTTTTTTTAGTGGCGAATATCAAATTGTTTGAGTTCAGTCGTTCGAAAATGTACCCAATTTGCCCCTAAACCAAACCGTCATTAAGAGATGAGCAAATCGTACCAAATTATATGAAAAAGATATCAGGAATTCATATGAATTAGCCACTAAATCAAGAAGTTATGAATTGCCGTGAGATTGTGTTGGATAATCGTATGTATCCGCTTGTTAAGTGTGAGTGTGCCTCATGCGAAGGGGCTTCCGAGTCAAAGTGCTATATCATACTGTATGTAATACTTCTGAAAATCACAATTGCAATATATATATATATATATATATATATATATATATATATATATATATATATATATATATAGTTGAAGTCAGAATTATAACCCCCCCTCTTTATTTTTCTGTTAAACATAATTTGGGAAATATTTAAAAAAGAAAATGAAAATCATAGGGGGGCTAATAATTCCGACTTCAACTGTATATATATATATATATATATATATATATATATATATATAGATATGTTAAAACTGGTAACAGCCAGAGACTGTTGTGTACACCATAAATTTACATAAAATTCACTTTAACATGTGATATGACTAAAAAGTGGTCATAAACGAATATTTTCTCAATTCAAATAAGTATCAGCTTGGACCTAGAAACAGTATTTCATACATCATGACTTAACAAGCAGATACTGCATCTAATATCTATTCAATATCTATTATCTATTCCAGGGTATATGCAGGAATCCTAAAGGTAATTTCAATACCATTTTAAGACTTTTTAAATACCTTTTTAAAAATATTTTAAGACTTCATTACTACTTCAAGTTGCCGTCTGTTCGCTCTATAGTTTTGCTAAATGTAGAAAGCATCACATCATGTTCCTGCGTTTAGCTCAAATTATGTGACATCACCCAAACGGAGGAGCTTGGCCGGATGTGCCCCGGCCTGAATCAATCGTGTGGATTATGCATGCAATTGTTATTATTAGGAAGAAAATAAAAATATATTTATGCTTTTTTGGAGTCAAACACTTAGGACAATGCTTGACAAAATTAAGGACCCCGTAAAAACGTGATTAAGACTTTTTAATACCCTTTAAAGGTCTCATAATTGATTTATCAACTTTTAATACTTTTTAAGACCAAGCGGGCACCCTGTATTCAAAGCAGTTTGTTAATAAAATTGTATTAGCAAATCCTGCTTATTTTTGCGATTACTCTGGTTTGCACTTTTACCGAGCAAATATGTTTAAAAACGTGAAAAGCATTTAATTTTGTTGTAAGTATACAAATCTTTCAGTTTTGAAGGGTAAACAGAATATTAAAAGTAAAAAAATATTAGTTATAAAATATAAAGTGTTATTTATCCTGTCTAACAGAAGGCATCATAAGTAGAAAATCACTTTTACCCAGAATCCATTTAGAGAAATAAACTCCTTGAGCTCTCAAAGTGCTAATTAACTTAACACGATTTTAACGTACGGTACATAACATGACTTTAGGGAATCAGACCGTTTGTGCATCTGTGTGTGTGTGTGTGTGTGTGTGTCGGTGGAAACAGTCACACCCTCTCATGAGATTATTACTCACACTTAGCCTTCAGAGAAAACAATTGTGTGGATGCGTGTGTGTGTGTCTTTGTGTGTGTGTCATTTTAATCAGCAGAGCTGCATGCTAAAGTGATGAATATGGAGTAATAGCAAGGTCAAAAAAACCTTTGGTGTGTGTGTGTGTGTTTGAGTGTATATGAAGTGGTAAGAAGTGGTCAAAGATCAAAATTAAAGCACTGCTAATACATATTCATGATTGCAGTTCACAGACATTCTCTGCAGCGATATGAAAAACAAGAAACAGCTGCCAGTCAACAGCGCATTAAATTTAGATTGATAGTCCAAGCGGCTTCTTTCTTATTATGCTGTGGCATTTACTTTAGCAGGTCTCGGAGGACAGGAAGAGCCGATAAGAATATATTTTGATCAGAGCACTTGAACTGGAACGAGGCTGAATCTTAGTGCATGAACTCTTACATAAAGATGATATTTATTTAAAGCCTCCGTCAACAGTTGGAATTTCTTATGTAAATGAGCAGAACTTGTTGACTGCGGAATTTTGCAGTTTCTTCTATAAACGTGTGTATACACATAAACACATACACACATTTAATAAATAAATAAACAAGGAATTCTCACTTTCTCTGGATTTTAATTTGACATTTAATGTGGACAGCATTTTTGATAAATAGTTAAGGTAAAAAAATAAATGTTATAGTCTTAAGCCGATGTTTTGACTTCAGAAGACTTGAAAACATGTTATTCTGATCAATTGCCATGTTTTGAAGAAACAAAAATGTTTTAAATTACAATATTTTAATAAGAAATTTGGAAAGAAATACATTTAGCTCTTTTAATGAATAAAACTAATATTAGTTTTCAAACTCATACTTATTATACTTAGTAAATTCAGAAAGACTGAGAATTTTCAGATGAATGGATGGATGGATGGATGGATGGATGGCTAGGTGCGTATATGGATGGATGGATAGGTGTGTATATAAATAAGGATGGATGGATAGGTGTGTATATGGATGGGGTTGATGGATGGGTAGGTGTGTATATGGATAAATGGATGGATTGATGGATGAATTATGGATGGTGCATAGACAGATGGACAGATGAGTAGGTGTGTATATGGATGGGGATGGATGGATGGATGGACGAATAGACAGGTGTGTATATGAATGGATATGATAAATGGATAGATGGCTAGGTGTGTATATGGATTGCGATGGATGAATGGATGGATGGATAGGTTTGTATATGGATGGATGGACGGATGGATGGATGGGTAGGTGTATATGGATGAATGTATGCATGCATAGACGGATGGACAGATAATTAGGTGTGTATTTGGATGGGATGGAAGGATGAATAGGTGTATAGATGGATGGAGAGATGGGTAGGTGTGTATATGGATGGGGTGGATGGATGGGTAGGTGTGTATATGGATGGGGTGGATGGATGGGTAGGTGTGTATATGGATGGGGATGGATGAATGGGTAGGTGTGTATATGGATAGATAGATGGATTGATTGATGGATGAATGTATGGATGATGGATGCACAGACAGATGAGTAGGTGTGTATGTGGATGGGGATGGATGGACGGACGGACGGATAGACAGGTGTGTACATGGATAAATAGATGAATGCATGGATGGATGGAATAGGTGAGTATATGGATGTATGAATGGACTGATAAGTAGATGTGTATATGGATGGATGGATGTATGTATGGATGGATGGATAGGTGTGTAAATGGATGTGGATGATGGATGGATGGTAGGTGTGTGTATAGATGGGATGAATAGATGGACAGATGGGTACGTATATAGATGTATGGATGGATGGATGGATGAATGTATGGATGAATGAATGAATGGATGGATGGATGGATGGATGGTTAGGTGTGGATATGGATGGGAATATATGGATGATGGATAGGTGTGTATATGGATGGATGGATGGATGGATGGATGGATGGATGGACGAATGGGTTGGTTTGTATATGGATGGATGGATGGATGGATGGATAGGTGTGTATATGGGTAGGGATGGATGGATGGATGGATAGGTGTGTATATGGGTAGGGATGGATGGATGGATAGATTGATATGCAAAACATATTTTTATTGGCTGAAACACCAAAAGATATTTGTAAAGCACTTTTAAAAAGATGCTTTTAGAAAAACTGGTAACCAGAAATATTCAACTCAACATTATATTCCAAAAACTCCTTGCATTTCCATCTTTTTCAGTGATATTTTACCTTGGGGTCCTCTGGGAAAATGTTGTCGACTAGGCGTTTGTAGCGCGGCCGCAGAGGACCACAACACCCACACACACCTGCAAAGAGAGAAAAGAAGCTTTATTAAATACAGAAGACACATAATCTTGACTCTATATCAGCTTTGAATGCATTCGGTTTAACCTGCAGAAACACAAATGCTTTTGGAGAGTTTGCGTGTGATTAAACTGATCTAAGATGCTGCTCTCACATCCGTCTGCATCTTTTATCTATAGCCGTTTATCTATTTTAACATGCATCTTTGATTGCTGTGGAGGATCTCAGTTGTAAATAGTGGACAACAGAATTCATTTTGTAACTTTAACTGCGGATAAAAGGAAACAGCAAGGAAAAATAGAGATCTTTATATTACCGAAATTATTTTGCAAAAAAAATAAATAAATAAACAAACCGGTCTTTCCTCTAGAATAAACTTCATGTCACGTCATTTTTTAAAGCTCCAAGCCAATTTCACATGATCAACAGCATGCATATGAAATGGATCAACCAGCAGAACTAATTTATTATTTATTGGTTATAATTTATTTTTTCATTAGTTTGATAATGATAATAGTATGGATAATATCATGGAGAGTATAGTAACCAATATTTGTGCATTGCTAGTTAGTTCATCATCATTAACTCAACCTATTAACTATTAGAAATTAGGCTTTGATCTATTTATGGAAGGACGTTTACAAAATATCATCAAGGAAGATGATCTTTACTTAATATTCTAATGATTTTTTGGCATAAGAGAAAAATCTATAATATTGACCCACAAAGTTTTTTTCCTCATCTATTTCCACAAATATACCCATGCAACACAAGACTGGTTTTGTGGTCCAGGGTCACGTCTGTGAACATTAGTTAGATGCTAATCAATATTCACGAGACCTTTAGACCTCCTGGGTGAGTTTGGATGTCAGCGACGCTTTAGAATTTCTACAAATAAAAACTGTGAAGATATTTTTAGACAAACAGCAAAGCCTCACGCTGACATTTTAACTAGAGAAATATTTGCAACATGTGAAAAGTGGAAATGTGCAAGAAAAATATATGTCGCCTATCCAAGTTTTAGGAACAACAAGTAATAACCTGACTTCTAGCTGATCATTTGGTATCAGAAGTGGCTTAAATGAAAGGAAAATGCCTCTAGATTACACTTATTTTACCAAAATAAAATTTGATCATGCCTTGATTTTTAACTATTTAATTGGGACAGTACATGCTGACTTTGCTTAGACAAAAGTATTGTCACTTAACAGAAATATTGTACAGCATAGAATATAAAGTCATGGTGCAGTGGAAAAATAATTAATATTGTGTATGACTCTCATGAGCTTGCATCCATACATCTCTGCAGTGACTCAAGTAACTTATTAATAAAGTCATCTGGAATGGCAAACAAAGCATTCTTGCAGGACTCTGATGTGGAGGCTGAAGTTTGAGAAGGAACGTTTTCCTGCTGCAGAACTTGCCCTCTTCTGTGGTTTGCCAGGCAGTTTATGTCATCCACTCTCACACACCCCCATACTGAATGTAACCCCAAACCATGATTTTTCCTTCACCAAACTTGAATAATTTCTGTGAGAATCTTGAGTCCATGTGGGTTCCCATAGGTCTTCTGCAGTATTTGTGATGATTGGGATGCAGTTCAACAGATGATTCATCAGAAAAGTCTACCTTCTGCCACTTTTCCAAATGATCAACTAGAAGTCAAGCTATTATAAGTTGCTCTTACAGCTTGTATCAACAACAAGACTTTTGCCAAGTAGTAATAATATTCATGTTTTGACTTTGAAATTATTATAAACATTGTTTCTCCAAAAAAGAATAATTGATTAAAAAATGCTTTAAATTACAAAATTTTAATTTGGATTTTGGAAGAAATATATTTAAACTTTATAGAATAACACTGTGAACTAATACTATAAGTAATAAAGTAAATAATAAATATAAAATAACTGAATTTTCACCTAAACTTTTAAGAAGATGTCAAAAATTCAGCTTTTACAAAAAGATTTTCCCCATTTAATTTTGCTGTGGATGTATCTGGTGCTCTCTTATGGAGCCAGATCCTTTTAAAAAATAATACATTTACAAAATAAAATTCATACATCCACAACACAATTAACATTTACAAAATCCAATTTGTAAGTTCAAAACACGCTTCAAAAAATGCACAAATCCAATTCATAAATTTAAAATCCAACTCAAAAATGCACAAATCCAGTTTGTAAATTTAAAACACAATTAAAAAAATATACAAATCCAATTCATAAATTCAAAACCCAACTCAAAAATACACAAATCCAATTCATTAATTCAAAACACAATGCAAAAATACACAAATTCAATTCATAAAATCAAAACCCAATTTCATAAATACACAAATCCAATTCGTAAATTCCAAACATGATTCAAAAATACTCAAATCTAATTTGTAAATAAAAAAAGGATTAAAAAAAAGACACCAATCCAAGTTGTAAATTCAAAACATGATTTAAAAAATACACAAATACAATTTTTAAGCAAAAAAAGCTATTTAGAAATACACAAATCTAATTCATAAATTCAAAACATGATTCAGAAATACACAAATCCAATTAATAAATTCAAAACACAATTCAAAAGTAAACAAATATTTATAATTTTTACTTGTGAATTCACAAAATGTATTTACAAATTGGATTTTGTAAATGTGAATTGCACTGGATTTTATCTTGTAAATGTATGATTTTTGAGACTGATCTGGCTCCATACTCTCTGAACACAAATATGGCCCTAATAACATAGAATAAGCAATCCTGACACCACATATTTACTCAAGCCAATAAGACCTCCTGGATCTGCATATGTGTGACAATAAGCTGAGCTGTCAGGATGGTGAGGTGTACAGTATGTGGATGCACTGATGAATAGCACAATGCAAACTCTGTGTGTGTGTGTGTGTGTGTGTGTGATGCCACAGTTTGAAGGTCTGATTAATTATTAAAAAAAGTCAAAGAAGAAATCTGAGAGCAGCAGAGCAGCCAACACACACACACACACACACACACACACACAGACACACACACACACACACACACACACACACACACACACACACACACACACACACACACACACATATAAAGTTTCTATATGGCACTGCTTCTCAAGCAATGGGCCGCAGTGGGTGAGAGTAATTGATTTAAAGATGAGAAGAGGGTCTCGTGGGGACAGAAGGCTAGTGTAGAAAGGTTTCCAGACTCCTTAGGGAATCTCTCTCTCTCCGTCTCCTCCCCCATCTCTTTCTGTAAGAGCTCTCCGGCTGTTTGCTCAAGTGGGTTTTATTTGCCAGTCAAGTGGAGCCCATGCTGGTACCACAGAGTGTGTGTGTGTACGCGCATACTTGCATTTCCTCTTCTTTTGTATGTCCATCTATCCAAATTTTCCCTTGCTTTCAGCCTGGCCAACGGTGAAACCTCTGGCTTGTTGAATTCAGATTTGCAGTGCAAGCTCTTTCTCCACAGCATGATAATGGAGAATTAATGCTGAGGTGTGTCATTTTTTTTTAGATTTGAAAATACTTTTTCTGCCTCAGCTAATATGGAGAGGTGGATTTAAGTTAAAAGTGTGTAATCTGTGATTCTTATTTAAGAATGGATATATACAGAATTACTGGCTCAATCAGTGGCATGGGTTTGTCCAGCCAAGTGAAAAGTGCACAGGAAAAGTTTGGAAAAGTTACGTTTATGATGCAGAAATGACACATTTCTATGGAATCAGTTTAGTCTCAAAAGAAATTCACAAAGCACAGCAGCAGCTTGTTTAAATTCATTGGATATAATCAGGGCCGGAGTGGGACTCCTTTTCAGCCCTGGAGTTTCAAGCCTTCGACCGGCCCACCTCAGTTCACGACTGACTATATTAAAATAAGGTAATTTCCAATTCAGTTTCTAATTACACAAAAGTCTTTTTAAAGAAAACAGCTGCTTTAGAACTTCAAATGTTCAACAAACTTACAGTTTTATATGTCTTAACAATAAAAATGAAAAAAAAAAAAAAAAAGCTTAACTCAGGTGAGGATTGAACACGGATCAGCGGCTTGATAACGCAACGTGCTAGAGGTCTGCATTCCCGCGGCTGTCCCGTGGGCGCCGCGGGACCCGACCAGATTTCTACGGCGCGGGTATAAATTTCTGAATAAATCACGGGAGCGGTCGGTAATGGGTTTAATTTGGGACGGGAGCGGGCTGTCTAGCAATATCGCTCCAGACTCCTGAGTGAGCACGCGTATGTATGTGTGTAAATGAAATAGCGCGATGCTGTGTTTAGCTTGTTTGTTGCAGTGTGTCTGTGTGTGTATGTATGCGCACGCGCGAATGAGAGATGTGTGTGTGTGTGTGTGTGTGTGTGTGTGTGTGTGTGTGTGTGTGTGTGAATGAGAGATAGAGAGCTTTGCCTCATTGCCTGTGTTTGTGCTTGGTGCTTATGAGTGTGTGTTAGAGGCCGCGCGCGTGCGAATGAGAGAGAAAGCTTTGTCTGTGTGTGTGCTTGGTGCTGTGCGTGTGTGTGTTTATACAGACAGCTTGTTGTAGGCTGTCTGGACTGTATAACTGGGTGATTTTTCGGTTTTGTTCTCCCCCCGCTCTTTAGCGGGATCGGGTGCGGCGGATAGAAAACGGGGCGGGTCGGGCAGCGGGACATCAAGTGCTTTATATAAGCGGGAGCGGTCGGGTTCCGGCTAAAACCTGGCGGGTGCGGGCGGGAGCGGGATTCAAAATTTAGTCCCGCGCAGATCTCTACAACGTGTTGACCGCTAGACCACAGCAATACTGCTATGCTCAAATTGCCGGAATGACAAGTCATCATTCTGCAGGCTACATTCTGCTCATGAGGCTGCGAGAAAATAAATAAGAAGAGCGGAGCTGCGGCAAAATAACGGATAAAAAGAGTGAGGCTATGGACAAATAATTAAATAAATGAACAAAAGTGCAACTGCGAATGCTGTTTTCTCCGTTCGCCATGCTGGAGAGAAACAGTCTGCGCAAATGAAGCGCAGAGTTGGTGTCATTGACTACAGCTCTCATCTGATTGGCTGAAAGGTACGACTTGCCCTGACTCTGGCAGGAAAGTCTCAAAAATACACACACACACGTATCCAGGGGGAGTCGTATGTGAAAGAGGATTTGCACATTCTCATTTAGGATAAACTCGCAAGTTTTAAACATTCTAAACTTTTTGTTCACTCTTATAAATTTGCAAATCGTGTTTTGCATTTGTGAAACGTATTTTCTGAAAATGTATTTTTATTTTGTGCACGTGAAAATTTTTTGTGAATATAAATAAATATTTTACGCACGTGAATTTGATTTTATGCACGTGAATTTAGCTACGCATGTGTACATCGTGTCTTTTGCATGAATTATTATTGAGTCTAATCTGTCTCCATACATTTCAGCTTTAACAAAGTGTGTATGGAATAAACAATCTCATATTGAGATTTGTGTCCAGTAGAAGCTCTCTGGCCACTCGCAATGGCTTGCTCTTGCTTTTACACCATTTTATTTGTTAATTACACATGTAACATGAAGTTTCATAAACTAATTTCGAGAGGATCACGTTCTGTGATTGACCACAAATGGCCTCACATCAACAATAAAATGATAGACCAATCAGGTGAATTCAAGCCTACATAAATAGGCTTTTTCCATATCTTCCTTATCTTAGTTTTTGAAAAATCTCCCCCTTCTTCCCTCCTACACTTGAGGAACTCTCAATACCTACCTGATCTCAGACCCTCTTCTATACTAACTATCCAGGAGGGAGCCCCAGGTTCAAGGATCTTCAAGTACAGGGCTCTCTGCCGGGACAACATGCCAAACCTGCAATCAGTATCAAGCATTAGCTAAGTGTGAACTCTTGAAAAATGACAGAACACATACTCTACCATTAAACAGCAATGTTTATTAATATGATTTTTCTTCACATAGTAATGATTTTAAAATACATTTTAAGCATATTCTACTGTATGTAATCTATCTTGTGGTCAGTGAGATTTGTAAAACTTCTTTAAAAGCAGTATGCATTCATTTGATTGCAGCATTTTTTGGTCATATAGACTAATGGCTGACGTTCAGTGTTATACTAGGTTACAAATTAATTTCGTTTTGTTTGAAAAGACACTGTTATGCATCTATATTTAGCCCTGTGTTCTGGACGCTCTGGGAAATTTGATTGACTAGTGAACCATTAAATGAACTTTCACTGGATACAAATCACTTCAAGACATTTTTGCTCTCAAAGAAAGCTGTCTTATATTCATTTGTGGGGGTAAATAATAATGCTAAAACATTTATATTTTAATTCATTTTGAATTTCTGCAACTGAAAAAAGTGTTGTGCTCCTTTTATTAAGTTTAATTATTCTTAATTAATGTAAGCAATTAAAGCATTAAAAAGCATTTAAGGGGATTAATAAAAGAGCTAATTCTTGTTGCCATTAGCATTTTAATATATGCAAATGTATGCTCTTATTTGTTAGGCCAATATTTTGAGTACAAAAAATGTATACAGTTTCCTAGAATTGGTGATTTATTGGTCTTTTTATGTTTTAATACACTTTCACTTTTACACATCTCTGTTTCAACAACTTATGATGTTTAACATTCACTTTCAGTGACATTTTTAGCTGTCTGAAACTATATATTGTTGGGCTAGTCATGCAAAGCACTGGGATAAGAGCTGCCAGTACAATTTCTGCTCCTTTCCCAATTTATTTCTTTAAAAAAATATTATATCTTATACAATCCAATGCTTCAGACTACAAGGAAAATGTCAATAAAAGTCACCTTCTTGAACTGCAGAGTTAAATTTTCAACTAAATTATTCAAAAGTGTATTAACACCCACTGAACAATCTGGAGTACTGCATCATATGGGAATTAATAATGGCCAAAGATAAAATGATTTCTAAGATAAAATACTTTTTACATTTTTAAAATTTTTAATATTGAGCTAGTTTCATCTTACCTCACACTCCAACTCTAATGCTGTGTTTACACCAGACATTGAATTCGCAAAAAGTAGAAGCGTGAACATTTTGAGTTTACTCACTTCAATTACACATCAAATTTGCTTCATTCACACGTCAAATTCACTTCACAATAACCGTGGATTCGCGTCATGGGCAGGGCAACTGTCTGCCTGGTGACTCTTTATTCATTACTAAATGGCTAACATGGATTTTATTGAGATAATAGTTGTGTTTATGTGCTTTAGGAAGGCTGAAAAACAGCGTTTATTCGTTCGGCGTCATGTCTGAGTTCAATAGGTCCTTTCAGAGGTGCACCCTGCTCTGTGAGTTCATCAACTCCTCCAGAAACTATACCTGGATTATGGAAGCTTTCAGCAGCACTTCAGACTGAGCCGATCCCAGTTTGATGAAATGTTGTCCGGTGTCTGCAAGAGGATTTCCCCTTGGAAAACCAACAACAGGCACTATGTCATAATCACGCCCTCACAAGAGCAAGCTCCTGATTGGTTAACGTGGCATGAATGTCCGCTGAAGTTAAGATTTCCACGAGCGATTGCAGGATATCTATTTACATCATTGCATTGACTTACAGTAATATGTAAATCACTTGCACTTGATGCTTCATCTGTGTCTGGTGTGAACACAGCATTAAAACTAAAGCACCATTTATTTAGACATTGCTAAATGCAGTAAGACACCTGCCCTAAGCCTAAACTTTTTTTTTTTGTCAAATATTTGCACATTTATCCCCCTTAAAGTCTGCAGAAACTGGAAGCTGTGACTGTTTTATTTATTTATTTATTTTTTTATTGTATTGTATTGTGATGCAGTTCCAGGAGAAATAGATTATTAAATGAGAAAACAGTGGGCATGGCTTGTTTTTGGGGTGTCATTATTTCAATTTTACATGACAAGGGCAAACAACTTTTTTTCCCTTAAAGTCATCCACAGATTAATTGTTCACCACAAAACTAGCATTGTGAGCTAACAAAATCAATATGGTTAGTTTTAATTTCATGTGTACTTTAATGGTGGTTACATCCCTTGTTTGTACATTAGTTTAGAAGTAAGACTAGAGAACCAGTTAAACTAGTTGAAATTGGTTAGGCTTTGAGTAGAACTGACCATACAATATGGTTTAGTTTATGTACAATAAGTGTGCATTGAGTGTCTGAATGACTTAAGTCCATGTTTAATGAAGCACTTTACCCATACTGCACTTGTGTTAGGAGCGCCTGGTGTTGTCTGTGCTGCCGCGCTTCGTTGTGCTGGAGATGATTAACGACATGACCAACGTGGAGGACGAGACCCTACAGCATCAGTTTCACCGGATCTACATCCACCGCTATGAGAACGTGAGGTAATTTCTGTCTTTGTGTTACGGTCTTGACTAGAGCAAAAGAGAATCAACCAGGAATGAATCAGTCATTCGCCATTACGGCTCAGTCAGCCACCATTATGGCTCAGTCATCCACCGTTATGGCTCAGTCATCCTTGATTATGGCTGAGTCACGCTCTTTTATAACCCAAACCAGTAGACCACTGTCGGTCCCTGTAAAAGCAACAAACAAGCTCTTACCAGCCCCCAAAATAGCATTCTGTGGCCATTTGTGTCCAATTGAAGCTATCTGACCACTCCCAATGGCTTGCTCTTGGTTTTACACCATCCATTTTATTAGCGGATTACACAATGTGTATGTAACATGAATTAATTCAAAATTATCTCAGAGACAATGCATGTGCTGCCATTAATTAAAATAAATATGTTTATTAACATGAATTCCCTGCACATAATGATTTGAAAATACATCTTTTGCATATTCTACTGTATGTAATCTGTCTTGTGGTAGGTGAGATTTGTAAAATGATTTTAAAAGAAATTTGCGTTCATTTGCTAACAAAATTCAGTGGTATTGTGAAATATTATTACACTTATTATTAATATATATATTTTACTCCAGTCTTTGATGTTAATTAATTCTTAGAAAAACATTCTAATATACTGATCTGAGGAGTCAAAAGAATCAAAAGAAAATATATTTGAAATATTTTATAACATTACAAGATACTTGACAGTCAATTATGACCAGTGTTAGGGATAACGCATTGCAAGTAACACAAGTTATGCAATAATGTTACTATCTAAGTAAAGAGTAAAGTAAAAAATTTAAGTAATAATATTTGAGTTACTTTTTAGATTAATTAATTAGCTTTTTATATAAAAAGTGGGCGACTCAGTAGCTTAATAGTTAACGCGCTTGCTTAGCAACAAGGAGGACCCGGATTCAAGACCCGGCTGGAGACCTGCACTTTTAGGGCTAGGCAGTGGCGCAGTAGGTAGTGCTGTCGCCTCACAGCAAGAAGGTCGCTGGTTCGAACCTCGGCTCAGTTGGCGTTTCTGTGTGGAGTTTGCATGTTCTCCCTGCCTTCGCGTGGGTTTCCTCCGGGTGCTCCGGTTTCCCCCACAGTCCAATGACATGTGGTACAGGTGAAATGGGTAGGCTAAATTGTCTGTAGTGTATGAGTGAATGTGTGTGTGTGGATGTTTCCCAGAGACAGGTTGCGGCTGGAAGGGCATCCGCTGCGTAAAAACTTGCTGGATAAGTTGGTGGTTCATTCCACTGTGGTGACCCCGGATTAATAAAGGGACTAAGCCGACAAGAAAATTAATGAATGAATAAATAAAGTGCTGGATTAAAATTTGTGTAATCTTGTTGAATCGCACACAATGAGAGAATGAGCTCAAAAACCAAGATGGCAGAGCTTTACATTTCTATGATGGAAGTTTTCTCATTATTTTAAACACATTGAAGAAAATGGGCTTGTCTCAATGGACAGTGATTTTACTGAACTAACAAGACAAAAATACAAAATTAGCAAACACATTGCTTTCAACTTTCAGTAATTTGTATATCTCAGAAAGTTTCTAAAAAGTTTTTTAAAAGGTAAATGAAGGTGTAGGTTATACAGTGTGCTGTTAAATGCAGAGCTCCTCTATTAGAAAAAAGAAAAATAGCCTGCAAGTTCTGAAAGAGATAAAGTAAAATTAACTCAAAAGTAACATAACGCATTACTTTCTATAAAATAAACATAAAAGTACATACAAGTGATGATACTAGTTACTTTTTTGGGGAGTAACTCAATATTGTAATGCATTACTTTTAAAAGTAACTTTCCCCAACACTGATTATGACCTATTAAATGCGTCCTTGTTGAACAGACTCGTATTTAACCCAAAATGGTAAATGGTATATTAAAGTGGACCTATACCAAAAATCATGTTTATAAGGGTTTAAACAAAGTTATGTGGCAACAGTCTGTCAATATAACCAGCTTCTAATGGTAACAATGTATAATATATATAATCACACTTAATAAAAACAGTCTACAGAAACACTTTGGTTGACATTCTCCCTTTTTACGTGTCATCAGAGAGGAAAACCCAGCCCATTAGTGGCAATCTCTCCCTCATTAGAATAGGACATAAGTCTTGTTTTTAAATCTGCCACTATGCTGACACAAAGGCAGCTCCGTAGCTCCGCCCTCTTTTGAAATTAGCAGAGTCTCATTTAAATTTAAAGAGACAGTCACCAAAACAGCACAATTTGGATCAAAGCCTAAAAGGGGCAGTTTATAAAAAGTTATAACATTATCTGTGGGGTATTTTGAGCTGGAACTTGGCATAAAAGTGGCAAAATAGGTCCCCTTTGAGGTACAAACGTCCAAAATCTGTTGTTGGTGCAGCACCACTTTTAAAAATGTACACCCATGTTTCTTTTGTTTGTTTAGCTCTTTATTTATTAATTTAGAGTACATATTTGTGCTTATTAGCACTTAAAAGTACATATTAGTATCTTTTCAAATCACTCTGCATCACTCTGTACCTTTTTTCTGTGAGTAACTAGATTTCACAGCGTGTGTATATAAATTCTCTATTACATTTGGCTTGTATATTTATGCAATCTTGCCTCCTTTTTCACATCAATTCAGTTTTTTCTTCTCATTTCTGTTTTGTACAGTATTCTCTTTGCTGACGTGAAGGGCTTCACCAATCTTTCAACCACACTCTCCGCTCAGGAACTTGTTCGAATGCTCAACGAACTCTTTGCACGATTCGACCGACTGGCACACGTAAGTAAACACACTTTTACCAGAATGCATATGAGTGTAAACTAAATCACAGTGTCTTTCGGGGCATGAAACGTATTAAAGCATTTTACTATGTTTGCCTGATATTGTGTTGTGTTGGCACGACATGCCTCTTTTGTGCCTTAAATCTGACGTTTAAATTTGTTTGTACTGGAGAGTAAAATGTAGTACAGTGGTAGTAGTAAGTCAATAATCATTTTATAGGAATGTTTGCAGTCACATTTATTTCAGAGTTGATATTAATAAGTGCTACAGATATTTTTGTAACACAAATTATGGCTAAAATGGAGTGAGCAAAAAATTGTTTGTTCAGATTGATGTAGTCAAACAGCTTTTTCTGTTATATTCTGTAGACTGAATTCAAATGATCTGAACGTCTCATAGACACTATTTAAGGGCTGTGTATAATAAATACTAATTGGATGTTAACATCTCTTTTTTATATGCTGGCCCTTACATCTTTTTCTTTATTTTTAGGTTTGATGAAACTTAGCGTACAGTAAATATCAATGGCCCTTTAGTCATAATCATTTGAATCACTTGCCATAATTAAATTAAATTTTCAAATTTCGCTAGTTGAAAATGTCAAATAAATCCAAAATGTAGAGAATCACAGCAAGGAAATCATGCCAAATTAGATATTTAGCACTGCCCACTTCCATAAAGCACAGCAAATGCTTTAATGATCTATTTGAATATGCGATTTCAAATAATTTTAAAGGAAAGATTCTGTTAACATAACAAATTTAAGTGGATTTAACATAAAACAATTAAGTTGTCCAAAAAAAGCAGTTTGAACAAGTAGTTAATTATATATATATATATATATATATATATATATATATATATATATATATTTTTTTTTTTTTTTTTTTTTTTTTTTTTGAATGTATGCTTTGTACTACTTTTCTAGCTTTTGCTAAGTTAAACTATAGTGTATTGTGGGGTTATATACTCAATAGTTCCGCTGCATAAAACATATGCCGGAATAGTTGGCGGTTCATTCCACTGTGGCCACCCCTGATAAATAATGGTCTAAGTCAAAAATGAAGGGTTCAGAAATTTTAAATAAAAAATTCACTTTTATAGTTGTCAAATTGAGTTTTAATATATTTATGGCAGGGCATTGACCAAGTATCCTTATGGGGTATGGATCTTAACTTAATATTCTTATTATTTGTTTTGTATAAAAAAACATAATAATTTTAACCTATACAACAAAAATATAGTCTTGCAAAATAAGAGTGATTTTGTCACATTTTACTATGTTGTGTTACCATAGTAATTATAGAATTACCACAGCAGATTAATAGTGGTAATAGTAGAGCGACGCAGTGGCGCAGTAGGTAGTGCTGTCGCCTCACAGCAAGAAGGTTGCTGGGTCGCTGGTTCGAACCTCGACTTCTCTCAGCGTTCACGTGGGTTTCCTCCGGGCGTTCCGGTTTTTCCCACAGTCCAAAGACATGCGGTACAGGTAAATTGGGTAAGCTAAATTGTCCGCAGTGTGTGTGTGTGCGTGTGTGCGCGTGTGCGTGTGTTTGTGTGTGTGTGTGTGTGCATGTGTGTGTGTGCGTGTGTGTGGATGTTTCCCAGGGATGGGTTGCAGCTGAAAGGGCATCCGTTGCGTAAAAGCGTGCTGGATAAGTTGGCGGTTCATTCCGCTGTGGCGACCCCGGATTAATAAAGGGACTAAGCCGACAAGAAAATGAATGAATGAATTAATTCAAGTACTTTATCAGAGTCAAAGTTTAGCAAACCCAAAAAATTTTGTTTTCAAGTGTAATTGGTTAGTAGAGATTTCAAGCGTTATGTGTATATATTTCTTATGTCTGCGAAGCAAGTATTCGCTGAGGTTTGAGTGTGTTTGTTGACCAAAAAAACTGTTGTAAAAACACACATCTGGTCCGAGCTTTTCCCCTAGAGAAACGTCAGTCTATAGTGATTGATGATTGGCTCTTGTACTAGTAGGCGGAGCTTTTTATTCACCATATTGACCGTTACACTTTTCCCCATTCAATACGAGTGACATGTCTTGTGTATTCTTTAGTCTTTGACTTTACTGTAGTACAGTTCAAAAACACTAGAGCAATTACTATAAATTACTGTAGTTGTATTGGTAAATTATAGATTTTTTTTTGTGAATGGACTACCACTTAAAAAATCAATGAAGAATGTAAATTTGGTTTATAACAGTGCTTTATTCACATAAGTCAGAGCTGTTGGCCACAATTGCTCTGCTGTTGGCTCGCTCAAATCAGATGCAGCATGTGCGAAACAAAGAGAAGTGTTGTGTTTGACTGCCAAGGGCACTGCCAGCATATCTTGTCTCGGAGTTTATAGTGGCACCTGATAATCTGAGTTCAGTTCGAGCAGAGAGAAGGGTGCAATGTGTGCCGACTCACCCTCCTTCATGTCCCGCAGTGCAATGATGTGCTAAACGCCTGTTGCAGAAGTCACATAAATAAAAGCACAGTGACCGTGTCCTCACCGTTAATGACACTGATGTATGAGTGTGTGCGTCTGCGGAGAGATACAACCGTCAACTGCTAGCACAAATCTTGATAGCTGCCCTTGGAAGAAAGAACAACACACATACACAAGATCAGATGGATATTATATTTCGGACAAATGTGTTTTTTGTTCAGACCGCAGGAGGAAATAAATGCATTATGAAGATTATTAAACTCCATCTTCACGCAGCAACTCTCCAATAATATTATTCATGATTCAGTGCAATGATCATTGGAGATTAACCAACCATAAAGTGGCTCACTGATGCATAATGCAGATATTCAAATGTGGCATATGCGCGGTTGTATCAGTATGTCATATTCAAATATCCTTGTGTCCTTGTGTTGTGTGAATTCACAGTCGCACTTATTCAGGCAGGCCTGGCGTGGCGTTTCATTCTGCAGCAGTGTTTATTGTGATGAGTGGTATTCATTTTCTCTCCCGATGGCAATGTTTACTCAGAGATGGCACATGTGCGTGGTTTGTGCTGTACTGGTTAACTGCGCTTGAGCTGCCATGTTGTAAATGTTGCAGATGATTTTGATTGCTTGCGTCGTGCCACATCCCGACAACTTTGAACTCTGGAGATCGGGATCTGGATGTCTTACAGGCTCAGCAGCATTATCTTTAACAAATCTGTCTCGCTCTCTTGCTGTCTGTTTCTCTCTGGCTCTCTGTTTTTCTCCTCACACTGCCTGATGGGAAATGCGCATTAACCCTCTCATTACTTAAAGTGCGATCAAAGTGTGTCAACGTCTTGTAATCCCCAGAAGAATATGGCTTGTTTTTTTTAAGATGTGTGCTATGGAAAACATGTTTTTAGAGGTATGCTCTGGTAATAGCTGTTATTTACAGAAATACATTGGAGTAGCGTGTTATGTTATCAGTTTGTCTTTTACATACTGTAGGAAACAAATCCATGACCTTGACGTGTCTAGCAGAAACTAAGCTGCTGATACGTATGATTAAGAGCCCTTTTAAAATTTAAAACAATCAGTATGTTTTATATATTTTTATGTTACTTTACCTAAATTATATATTTTACAGTATATGCTAATCATTTTTATGAAATTGATGGTCATATATATATATATATATATATATTACAGTTGAAGTCAGAATTATTAGCCCCCCTGTTAATTTTTCCCCCAATTTCTGAATTTTCACCAAATTTTAACAGAGAGCAGATTTATTTTTTTCAAAACATTTCTAAACATAATAGTATTAATAGCTCCTTTCTAATAACCAATTTGTTTTATCTTTGCTATGATGACAGCAAATAATTGATTAGATATTTTTCAAGACACTTCTATACTGCTTAAAGTCACATTTAAAGGCTTAACTAGGTAGGTTAACTAGGCAGGTTAGGGTAATTAGACAAGTTATTGTATAACAATGGTTGGTTCTGTAGACTATCAAAAAAATATAGCTTAAAGGGGCTAATAATTTTGACCTTAAAATAGTTTTTAAAAACTTAAAAGCTGCTTTCATTCTTGCCAAAATTAAACAAATAAGACTTTCTCCAGAAGAAAAAATATTATCAGACATACTGTGAAAATTTCCTTGCTCTGTTAAACATCATTTTGGGAAATATTTAGAAAAGAAAAACAAAAAAGGTAGGCTAATAAATCTGACTTCAACTGTATATATGAAATGTGAAAAGGTGTTATTTTTTTCTGTTTCAGATCATTAAACAAATTTGTACTGTAAACAATCAAAGATTACACAAGTAAACATTGTGCTGTTTTTAAATCAAGGTTTTTGTTATTAAGGGAAAACAAAATCAAAACCACATAGCCCTGTAGGGAAAAGGTTCTTTGTTAAAAATACCGGATTTTCCGCACTGTAAGGTACACCTATGAGCCTTAAATTTTGTCAAAAATCGTCCGTCACCTGAAAATCTGTTGCACCCCATGTGTGCACTGAGTTCCAAAATCTATAAAAATGTTGTTGTGCAACTTGATTGGCTGTTTGAGCATTTCCTGCCAACACCAGGAACGTAATATGTACAATATGTACGCTGGGAGCGATTAACAAAATTAATCCAATTATTCCAATAATTCCAATTGGTGTAAACGGTGTTCAAAGTGAAGTTGCGAGCGGCGTGGGAGCGATGGATAAAGGACGGCGAATACACCTTTACTAAGACTGGTAGGCAGTGCCAGGCAAGTTTCGCCACCATATGGGAATAGATTGTGGATGCCAAAGCTAAGTTATTTGCTTTAACTGTTGCCCAAGCTTTCACAAAAGCCGGCATCATTGCTGAACAGCCACCTAGCAACGAGACTAACTCTGAGAATGATGAGAAAGAACCCGGCATGTTTGATGGCGAAATTGCTCAGCTGTTCAAATCAGACACAGAAGATGAGGACTTTGATGGATTTGTGGGAGAAGATTGATAAAAAAATATTGTGAGTTTATTGTTAAATAGTAGAATAAAGTTCAACTAAACTCACTGTTTCTTTCTATTACCTTTTTTTTGTAGACTGTATGTTTTAGCATTTACCTTATAATACGGTGCATCTTATGTATAGTTTAAATATAGATGTAGATCCCATAATTGAGACTGCATTCTATAATCTGGTGCACCTTATGGTGCAGAAAAATGCTGCCACAGCTGTTCGCAATCAAGAAATCACTTTAAATAGGACCTGCCTGACAAAGTGTACAAAGTAAACCAAAAGATCCTCAAAAGGAAGACTTTTATTATTTTTAGAACAAGCCGAGATCCAAAGAAATTCAAAAACAAATGAGAAAGAAAACAATTGAGATCTACCAGATTGTAAATGGTAGAAAAGCAGTTTCTAAAGCTTTTGAACTGCAGTGACAAAAATATAGGACAGTGTTGAACCATCCCAAAAGTGTCTGGCTTATCAAAAGACCCCACAACGATATCTAAAGACCTGCAGGCCTGTCAGTTAAGGTAAAGCAGGTCGCACACCAGAAGCGCCGCTCGGCGGCGCGCCGCGCAGCGCCACGCAGCGCCATGTATTTTAGAATTCTAATCATAGGTTTCTATCAGGATACACACACCGGCGCCGCAAGTCGGCGGCGCCCGGCGACGGCTCAGGACGCAGTTCATTTTTCAGCCGCGCCACAGAGCGCCATCTGATTAGTTTCATGTTAAATATCATTCGAATGTGCGCGTCTGGTGTGCGATACTTTAATCTGTCATGTACGCGCCGTGTCGCGGCGCCGAGCGGCGCTTCTGGTGTGCGACCTGCTTAAGTGTTCATGTATCCACCATCAGAAAGAGACTGGACAAAATAGAAATTTTGTAAATCAGTTTTGTAACAGTAAAATGTGGTGGTGGTGGTAGTGTTATTGTCTGGGGCTGTTTTGCTGCTTTAAAACCTGGAGGACTTTCTGTGATTAATGGAACCATGAATTCTGCTGTGTACCAAAATATCTTAAGGAAGACTGTCTGGCCATCTGTTAGTGACTTTAACCTAAAGCAAAATTGGGATCTAGAGCAGGAAAATCTTCCAAAGCCTACCAGCAAGTCCGCTTCTTAATCGCTGAAGGAAAAACATAATAAAGACTTTGGAGTGGCCTAGTCAGAGTCCTGACGTGAATAGAATTGAGATGCCGTGGCATGACCTTAAAAAAGGTGGTTCATGCTGAAAAACCCTCCAATATGGCTGAATTAGAACAATTCTGCAAAGATGAGTGGGCCAAAGTTTCTTTGCAGCTCTGTAGTAGACTCATTGCAAGTTATCGAAAATTCTTGATTGCAGTTCTTTCTTCCAAGGGTGGCCCAGTTAATAGGTTTAAGGGATAAATATAAATATTTTTTTTCACACAGGGCCAAGTATTTTTTAAATTTAGTTTTTCCTTAATTATAAAAACCTTAATTTCTAAACTGCATGATATCTTATCATGTGTTATCTTTCATATGTGACTAATATAATTTGCTGAACTAAAACATTAGTGTGACATAATAAAAGCTGTTATTTTGCGGGAAGTTTCATTTAATGTGCTCTTTTTTTAGCATCACACTTTTACATTTGCGGTTAAAGTATGTTTGAGTGTGTTCATTTCATGCTAGTCTCTATGTTTGTATCCATTAAATTGGCCCAAAGTTTGGTATTGATTATGTAAATGGCATTCACTTAGCCTGCAGCATTTAGCCTTCAGATTAGCACTAGTGCTTCAAACATGTTATCACGAGTCAGTCCGCAGCTAATCGAAGCTGCACTGTAAAAAATCCAACTTGACAAATGTTGAAATTGCTTGATTTTTTTTGTTGGTTCAGCAAAAATCTGTAAAAAAGTCTGTACAACTACATTTAACACATTCAATCAACTTAAACAAAGATTTTATTCATTAAGTTAAAAAGATGAGTTTTGTGAGCAACACTTTGCTAGTTCATTCAAAAAAGCATCTGCCAACTTGTTTTTTTGTGTTAAGTCAATCTCTGACTTTTTTAATGCAATGAATATACAAGTAGCATAACCTTTTGTTGATTGAAAAGGTTTCAAACATGTTAAATATTCTAAAAAAATTATCAATGGCAGTATAGAACCTTTTCCCAGAGATGGGTTGGGGCTGGAAGGGCATCCGCTGCGTAAAAACCTGCTGGATAAGTTGGCGGTTCATTCCGCTGTGGCGACCCCAGATTAATAAAGGGACTAAGCCAACAAGAAAATGAATGAATGAGTATAGAACCTTTCATGGTTTGTATTAAATGTAAATGCTGAGTGAGAATGCTATTATTATTATTATTATTATTAATACAATAATAAATATCGTTATTCTTCACATTGTTATTAAAAACAACAAAAAACACTACAATACTTATAGTAACTTTATTTGAAACTTTTCATTTGCAATTTAACTTTATTTGGTGCACATTTGCAGAAATAAGCTTGCACGCACATTATCATCTCGTGTTTATTCATTACCCTTTAAAAAAAGAAAGGCATACTTTGATATTCCAATATTTAAAAATAAACCACGCACTCAAAAATATGTTTCTCAAATGACGATATAGCATCATTCTGTCTTGAGCTAAACCACGCCCTCGTTACGATGGTTGCGCTTACGTAACGTCAACGTCTCAGGCGGGAGAAACTGGAAGCATTGTACTTCGGTGGGGAAAGAGGCAAGCCGTGGAAGAGCAATCTTAATAGTAAGTGTGCAAAGATTGTAGTTCTTTGTTTAAGACACTTCATCTAAATTTGTCATCCTAAATGTTCATCATATACGCGCAAAAATGTGTGCAGATGCGGCGCTTAGTGATTATTCACATAATCTCTCTTTGTTATGTGATAAGAGTGAATGAATATTTGTGTTGCCGTAAATCATATCCATGCCCCGGGTAGCAGGAAGTAATCGGCCCGAGCTCGGCTGCCCTTCGGCGCCTCCGGCTCCGACTCGGCATCAACGAGTGTTATACGGGCGGAGTGTGGCCCGCAGCTCGCTCGCGCACATGCGTTTGTGATGCAGCTGTAAACACTGGCCAGATTCCTGTTAACCCTATCTGGCCCGAGTCTGTCTCGGCTCGTATAAGGACTCGGCTTGTGTAACTGATGACAACCGATTAAATTCTTATTTTATCTAGTAATTTGTTAGCTCCACGTTTAATGATATTTTGAGAAAATATATATGGTACAACAGCAACAAAATAATAAAAACATTTAGTGTGGATGGTCGCAATGTTTAGATGCAAACAAAACAATATTATTTATAAATGGATTATATATATCATCTAGGGAAAACAGTGTAAAATGCGCTTATTTTCGAGATAGCACACTTCCATGCAGACTGTTTTTTTAAGCAGAAGTTTGGTTTCATAAGAAACACATGCGTGAGTCAACTCTTGGTCCAAACTCCAATCCAGACGGTGGCGGTAATGTTCCAAAAGCTGGTTGCCAACCGCTATGATGATCACAAGAAGAAAAAGAAGTTTGGCGTTTCAAAACAGTGGATTCCGGTCAGAAAGGTAAGGTTTTTGCTGCTTGTATACTGTATACTTTGCGAATTTAATGCTTAAAACATTTTCACAGTGTTAGGTTATTGTTAAGTTATTGTTTAACTTGTTTATGCAGTGCATCAGTGATCGTTTACTGTTCTCTTTAAATTATCATTATATTATTAAGAGAAATATATTAGTATGTGCTTTAATTTATATGTGTTAGCCTATGTGAATCAATTATATCTTATGTTCAAGTTGTAGTTTGCGCATGTAAAACTAAATTTCTTAAAGCAGATTTTGATGGGTTTTATTTTTTGGTTATTGACAGTTATACTTTCTGATTTAAATGAATGGGTATAAATGAATATTTTTTTGGATAAGTCTTACTGTTCTTGTTTAACAAAGGTTAGTGAGGTCATTTTGTAGCACATCACAGAGACCAATAGCACATTCTTATGAACATGTGAATAGGCATGTTATAGTTGGGTGATTAAAGTCCATGCTGTAAACTGCTGATACATTTTCAACATAGATTGAGCTTTTCAGACTTTACATTACTAATTGCTTCACAAACAGCTGAAATGGTTTATTGTTATTGGCTATCATCATCATCAAACATTTTCCACAATGGTAGGTTAATCTTCATGGGTACAGAATAATGCATGTGCTTGGCCATCTTACAAATCTATGTCTAAGATTCATATGGCTGTCACTATGCATGAATCTCTGAATAAATCCTGTGTGCTGATTATTTACACCATAGGTATTATAGCCATTAATTAACTTTGATAGTATTTCAGGATTTTAACTTTTTGGGGGGAGGTTAACAACAATGTGATGTTTTATTATAGACACACATGAGGAAGCTCGACTCAGCTTGGCTTGCAGACAGATGAGGACGGTGATTGCCCGTCATACACCTAAAGAAAGAACAGGTTTGTTTGCAATTATTTTAAACACATACTGTCAACATTATGTCATTGATCTATTACACTGTCATTGTCATTGATCTAGTGTCCTGCACTATACTAAAATAATGTTTTGTTTTGTAAATGTATCTGATCAAGGGGCATTAAAGACACAACTATAGTGAACGTGATGAAGAAAAATTATTTGGAACAAAGAGGCTGGAGAAAAAACTGATATGAAGATTTCAGAAATTGATGCAGCACCGCAAGTACCATCACCACCAATGACTATGGCAGGATCCTTAAGAACACCATCAAGATGCACAGATGCTGTACATTCCAGTACACCTATGAACATTTACAGTCCTTGTTCAAGTGCAGTCGGAGATCAAGACAACTTATTGCAACTCGTCATGTCTTTGTAAGAATTCAAGACATCACTAAATTTGTAATGGCTTAATGCAGCTAGAAAGTAAAGATCAACTAGAGAATATCAGCAGTGTCTAACCCACTGTTGTATTTACACAAGTTGCATGAGAATAAGCAACAGGTTGATTTATACTAATTTGTTATTTTTCTTTTTTAGCACGACTGAAAAAAAGTTTTAAAATCATGTGACGTCATAAAGCAGCAACTGTGCCTGATTCTCACAAATCAGCAAAACCAAAACAGACGTGATGAAATTCCAGATGTAAACACATTTGACCTTTCTTTGTCCAATTTGATTTGGAAAAACTTGAAAATCAACTAAACGAGCAGCCCGAACAAATGAAGAAACTGGTAAGTTTCTTGCTTATTTCTAAGTGTTTTATGTTTATTTATTTATTTATGTGTTTTTTTGCTTCGTAGGTAGCCTACTTTGGAATCATTGGTGTTTTCCACTAAGCAGTTTGGTGTGTCCCGGGAAAGCTTTTGGCTCACTTTTTGGCTGAACAAATTAACTGGAGCAGGGCAAACCAAAATGTGGCCTTTCATGCACTCTCCCTTACGACTGTCTAGTCAGTAAGTTGGTTTTAAATATACATTTCAGTACAATTAGGGGCAGTTCCATCTGTGTATTTCTTTGAATCATTAATCAAAGGAACAAAACATCTATATATAGTCCCATTTAGGTTGTACTTATATGAGAGCAAGCATCTTTCTTTTTTCATTTGTACTTTTTCACTACTAATTGTTTGTTTATCTTTTAATCACAGATGTAGTGAGGAGAAATGTCCATACCACATCACTGATAAAGAAGTGGAAAAATGCATTACAAGGTGGCTACAACGTGCTCCTGACAGGGCTGGAGGAAGGAGGGAAGAAGAGAAAGCTAATGTGTCAAATGTCTACATCAATAATTTATTTTTTAAACAACATTTTAAGTGTATTAAGATGTTCCCTGATACTTGGGTAATTTGTTTCTTTTATTTGCAATTTATATATATATATATATATATATATATATATATATATATATATATATATATATATATATATAATGACAATATGCTAAATTCTGAAAAAGCATCTTAATACATTTTTAATTAACATAATATAATAAAAATATGAAAAAAAAATTGCACAAGACATATAAAGATATACAAGTCAAATTTGATATATATATATATATATATATATATATATATATATATATATATATATATATATATATATATATAATCATCTCACTCATTTAAATGTATTATGTTTTATTTATTAAAAATGTTTCTTAAGAATTCTGCAGTTCTTTTTACAATTTTGACTTGTATATTTTACATATTGTCATGGGTATTTGTAAGATGTTTCTTACATATGCTAAATATGCTAAATTCTGAAAAAGCATCTTAATACATTTTTAATTAACATAATATAATAAAAATATTAATAACAAATTGCACAAGACATATAAAGATATACAAGTCAAATTATATATATATATATATATATATATATATATATATATATATATATATGTATATATATATATATATATATATATATATATATATATATATATATATAATCATCTCACTCATTTAAATGTATTATTATGTTTTATTTATTACATTTATTAAAAATGTTTCTTAAGAATTCTGCAGTTCTTTTTACATTTTTGACTTGTATATTTTACATATTGTCATGGGTATTTGTAAGATGTTTCTTGCTATATCTTAAATTGGTTTCTATATTCAGGTTTATATAAAATTAAGCTGTTTTAAGATGTGTCTTGTACAATTTTTTAATTCAAGTCTATTGGAAAAACAGGGTTGTTTTAAAAACTTCTGTGTATGTGTGCAATTTCAGATTTTGTCTTTAAATCTTCCTGTGTGTCTTTATTGTGTAGTTTTATTATTACTTGTGCACTACAAAATATTTTATTCAAGTTTAGTATTATTTGTTTATTGCAATCAATAAATGTTTAATATTATTTATTTTGTCCTTTGTTTGATAATTTTTGTTATTGGATATGTATGCTGTTTGCATTTTATTCAAAGGTTGAACGCAGTGCCTACACTTTGCCTTTACATAATAGCCTGCGTTTGCTGGTATATAAATGCAAATGGTTGTAATACCATGTATCAAGTACCAATATAATACCAAAAGGTTTTATATCAAGGTATATTGAGTTGCGCCAGCTCCCGGCTGCAGCGCACATTACTCACGGGCCGATTCTGGCTCGGATGCGGCAGCGAATCTAGCTGGAACTGGCCCAAGTGTATTTTACTATCTAGGGTGGCTCTTAAAGTGACAGCGCGTATATTCCAACTGCTTATTATTATATTAAGCAAACAAAATCAAATCAAAACCAAAATAATAGTAATAAATCGTTCATTTTGAACTGAAGGTGTATTCAGTGGAACACTTATTACTAAAGTAAGATCCTTTACTGGCAGTTTTAATATCATATTTATCCATGACCAGCCAAGGTACTAGCACAAAACATGTAATTATGCAAGTATAGATTTTGAAATGAATTACAACAAATACTAAGATTTATATCTCAAGGCAACTAGTAATTCAGATTGATTGCTCTAATTGCCCTGCTGAAAAAAAAAAAAAAAAAAAAACAGCATATGCTGGGAAGGTATATGTTTTGATGCTGGTATGCTGGTCTTGCTTGTTTTAATGCTGGTTTTGCTGGTCTTAATGTTGGTTTTGCTGGTCTCAATGCTGGTCCTAATGCTGGTTTCAATGTTGGTCTTGCTGGTCTCAATGCTGGTCAGGAGCAGCACTTAGACCAGCAAAACCAGCACTGAAACCAGCAAGACCAGCATTGAGACAAGCAAAACCAGCATTGAGACCAGCATCAAAACATACCTTACCAGCTTACGCTGTTTTTTCAGCAGGGTGTTGTGAATAATTTATGGGATATTCTAAGGTTATTAAAATTGATAGTGTTAGGTAGTCTCAGAGATGTGCTGTAATTGTTATATATTTAATATAATTGTGTTTCCTTTTCATGTGATTAATTTGACTTAGTGTTTGTGTTTTTTGACTTAGTGTTTCTTGAACCGCAAGAAAATGAATGTTTTGGTAAAATATATGTCTTTTTTTGCCATGTGTGTTTACTCCGATAACATTTTATTTATTAGTACTAATTTCCAATTGTATTTTTTTGGTTCATTTAACTTCTGTAGTTTCAGACCATTCAGACAAGAAATGTTCAGTCAGCAGAACTTAAAAAAACAGAGCCATGTGTGTTTGCTCGGATAACATATAATTTCTTAGTACTAATTTCCTTTTGTATTTTCTTGTTCTCTCAACTTCTGTCATTTTTGGCCATCCAGACAAGAAATGTTCAGTTAACACAACTTTTGCTCTGGTAACATATAATTTCTTAGTACTAATTTCCTTTTGTATTTTCTTGTTCACTCAACTTCTGTCATTTCAGGCCATCCAGACAAGAAATGTTCAGTTAACACAACTTTTGCTCTGGTAACATATAATTTCTTAGTACTAATTTCCTTTTGTATTTTCTTGTTCACTCAACTTCTGTCATTTCAGTCCTGCAGACAAGAAATGTTCAGTTTGCACAACTTAAAAATATTTGTTGTGCTGCAGGTGCAGGTTTCCAGAAAACTACTAATGTTAAGTTGACTCAACTAGACATTTTTTGTTTCACTGACAAATTATTTTCAGTCAGTGTAGCTGATGTTTTCAAAAGTTGAGTAAACAAGAAAAAACAGAAGGAAATTAGTACTAAGATTTTTTTTGTTGAACTGGCTTAAAATTTTTTACAGTGTGTAGGTGGTGTTTTTAGTGACTGACAAATGCCTGTTACGGGCGTAACGGCTTTTTGTTTCCATACAGCCATTTACTGAGCTGTGAAAAGACGTTAATACGGCAGTAGGCATGAGTAATGGATCTCAGAGAGGCAGAATGAGTGAGTGGCAGCTTTATAATTACCACCCTCTCTGAGCTCCACACAAAATCCTGGCAGCCTGAGAGATAACTAACACAGATAGTGCTTAAATGGAAATTACAGGCTGATTGCAGTCATAAATGCTCAAACTCCAATATGGCGCTCACATGTGCATGGGCTGTAAGAAGTTGCTAGTTGAAAGTAACACAGTGATGCAGAGCTGACTTGCGGTGTTACACAGGGACCGATTCCTGTACCCCAGCTATTCTCATTATATATGATGCCCTTAGAAACTATTATGAGAAAGTTAGGAATTATGTATCACTGCTTATGCAGATGATACACAGCTTTATATACCTGTCCAAAAAATGATAGCTTAACCCTCATGAGATTACAAGATTGTCTTCGCGAAATCAAGCTCTGACTCACCGGTAACTTTATGCTTTTGAAGGAAGATAAAACCAGAGTTATTCTTTTTGGTCCACCACAGCTTTCTAGCAAACCACTTAGGGCTGTGTGATTAATCGAAAATTCGGTTTCGATTTTGACTTCTAAAGATTATGAAAAAGCATTAATCGAGATAAAATGATTACTCATCATTTACCGCCCTCTTTCCAGTTGTGCACATTAGTTGCTCTGCAAAGCTTAGTTTTATGTGAAAATGACTAAAAGCAGGTACTTTAATGTAACTTTCGCAGCACAGGATGCGCATCATTCATTGATGTAGATTCGAATCATTCATTTTTTTAAAAGCACGAAAGAGCGCATGCTGTTTTGTGTGCATGCGCTCAGCCTCAGAGACGAGCAGAGCACACACATCTAAAGTGATCTTAATGTGAGCGCTTTAATGATCAAATACATGCAAATTTGTGTCAAAATTTGTGGTGTTTAGTGATTATTCATATTAACCCTGATTTATGTAAGAAACAAACGAGTTGAGGATCAAAAGACATGTGAAAGTGAAACCATTAATTAAGACCGCACTGCTCTTAAAGGGACAGCGTGCAATATTCCTGCTGCCGACTGTTTTTATTATTAATCAAACAACAACAGGACAAAATCACTCACTGCTTCTGACTGTGGAGATTTTTCTATTTCCTATCGAATAATTTTGACTTCAACTGATAATCATTTTGAATAATCGTGATTACAATTATGACCAAAATAATCGTGATTATGATTTCTCCCATAATCGAGCAACCCTAAAACCACCTACCGATCTTGGTGTATTAAACTGTTACCTCACCTCTGAAGTTAAAAACCTTGGGTTTCTACTTGACAGTAGTCTTAAACTTGACAAACAAATAAGTAAAATAGTAAGTTACATTTTTATCATCTACGACGACTAGCCAAAGTGAAACCCTTCCTGAGCAGGAAGGTCTTTGAAACGCCTATTCATTCTTTTATTTTCACGCGATTAGATTCTTGTAATTCTTTATATATTGGTCTACCTTCATCTTCTATTTCTAGACTTCAAATGGTCAAAATTGTGGCCGCCCGTTTGCTCACGAGTAGCCACAAATATGACTATATCTGTGATCACCAATATTGCGATCACTACATTGGTTGCCGGTTCATTTCCAAATACACAAAAATTTTACTCTTTGTTTATAAAACCTTGCATAACCTACCGCCACCGTATCTTTCTGATCTGATCACTACCAAGGCCCAAACCCAATCGCTTAGATCAAATTCCGACTGCCATCTATTGCAAATACCTCGAACTTGTTTCAAATGCGGGGGCGATAGAGCTTTTGTCGCTGTGGGTCCGAAAACTATAGAATAAGTTTCCATTAAAAATCAGAATAGCACCCACTCTATCTGTTTTTAAATCGATGTTAAAGACTCATCTTTTTTTAAGTGCATTTAGTATTCCCTAATGGCAGTTTACAGGCTATACTAAATTACTTCTTTCTAGGAAACGTTTACTGTTCTTGCTATTGTTTTATATTGTTGTTTTTATTGTAGTGTATTACTGTTTTTTTACTTGCTACTGCTATTGTACAGCACCTTGGTCGACCAAAGGTTGTGATAAGTGTGCACTAGAAA